ACTCCGTACTTAAGGAAGTGACCCAGCTTCTCTTAAATATAATGAAACCCCTGTACTTCACAATAAAAGTGAACTTCACAGTTACAGAAAACATGGTAAAGCAAGGTTTTAAAAGAAAAATATTATGGCACATACAAAAAATACATAAATAAATAAATTCTTCAAATACTGGCAAGTTAAACAAATCAAACAAATTAAAGCAAAGCAAAATATCAGCTTAAAGTGAACAACTTCAGTGTTTTTTGTTTCTTCTTTACAAGGAAAACTGGAGGAAAGGGATGCTTGGGGAGACAAGAGGGGTGTTGGGTGAGACAGAAGGGGTGTGGGGTGTTGGGTGAGACAGAAGGGGTGTTGGGGGAAAGGTGTTAGGGGCAGGGGGTATTGGTAGCTTCAAGACCAAAGCCCTCATGCAATAAACTTATTCTATAGCAGTGTTTTTTTTTAAATATGTAAAAATCCGGCTTTTGCTACCTTAAAAAACAATGAAATATTCTATAATAGCTCTTAGAATAAATTTGTACATGTATTTGTGCTTTTATCTCTACAAGGTTTATATTTGTTTTATTTCTTAATAATTTGTAATATCATCCTTATGATAAATGTTTCCCTACTGATCATTGTGAAGAAACAAATAATCGCATTCAGCTAACAAACTACACAAGTAAAATAATTGTTTGTACTTATGTATAAAAATGTTACCCTACCCCACCCATTTTCAACACTTGTTAGACAATTTTCCAACTAAAAAATCCCTAAAATTTACCAAAATGTGGGGCTCTTTTAAAAGTTTGCCTAAATTTTCTCAAAAGTATATCGGTTGATCTTGTTAAATATTAGATACTTAAACAGTGTAGTTTTGATTTTTATAAGGCTTTGAAAATGTCAGGTACCATATTTGTTATTAAATTTTGCATTATTCAACCAATAAAACCTATTTTAATTATATAATTAAATATAAATATACTTTTTTATTTCCAAAAGGGATCTTAGAGATAAATACGCTCCTCAGTTTCAATACAGTCGACAATAACTCTAGACTATTTGAATACTCTTCAAAGCGGAGGTAATGCATTTGGGTGGTCATACCTTAATGAAGAGGCATAAAGTATAGATACAGGATTTCCAACATTCACCATGTTGTTTATAAAATGGACATATCATGCCTTCAATTAAGAATGAACTATTTACGATATAAAAATACTGAAATTATGAGTGTACAGAAGAGCAGGATGGTCACACATTATAATGGAGGCATCAGATCATAATCATTGCTAGCATTCAAAAGGCAAACAAAGATTTGGGGAAAAAATTTTGCTTCACAAAATACAAAACACTAAAATCAGTTAAAATATTGCAGCTGTAAATATAAATAATTATACAGAATTACAAAAAGAGCACACACAAAAATATAAAATACAGATCGGCAAAAATATTATGCACAATAAACATTCAGAAACAACAAGAGCTGTCGGTAGGACAGCAACGCTCGACTATTCTTAGTGCTTGATAGTAAAAAAAATGCCTGATACAGTTACCTCCTCCTGTTTACAGGTTGGGGTCATGATGGTGAACAAGTGTGCAAAGTTTCAAAGCCATATGTCAATGGACTTTGAAAATATTTGAACTATTACAAAAACTTTAACGTAAATTCTAAGTCGAAAAAGGGGCATAATTCTGTCAAAATGCTTGATAGAGTTACCTCCTCCTGTCTACAGGTTGGGGTCATGATGGTGAACAAGTGTGCAAAGTTTCAAAGCCATATGTCAATGGACTTTGAAAATATTTGAACTATTACAAAAACTTTAACATAAGTGGTTACGCCGACGCGGACGCCGACGCTCGGGTGACTGCAATAGCTCTACTTATTCTTATCGAATAGTCGAGCTAAAAATATATCAATATCAAACATATAATTTACAACGATACACCAATGAACAAAAATAACATATATAATAGTACTTAAGCTTAAAAATTCTGGTTACAACAGCAAATGAAAAACAATCTTTAAAACTGACTGCTTAAAGACTGGTTATCCATATACAAGACTGCTTTAAGATTGGTTATCCATATACAAGACTGCTTTAAGATTGGCTATCCATATACAAGACTGCTTTAAGATTGGTTATTCATATACAAGACTGCTTTAAGATTGGTTATCCATATACAAGACTGCTTTAAGATTGGTTATCCATATACAAGACTGCTTTAAGATTGGCTATCAATATACAAGGATTTACAAAGTTGTGATATAGGAAATAGAGATATATGATGTTTATAGTGTGAACAAAAATTCTTAGTATTCTGACCAGAATTGAAAGAATGACATTTTTTTTGTGAAAGCTAGTGATGTATGCAAGAAATCAATGCTAAAGCCACGCCACTAAAATAGAACAGAAATAACTTGGTAGGGACCATTTTATAACCATGGAAATAAATAAACAGGATTTTAACCCTTAATGCCTACTTTTAAAAATGTCCTTTATCAAAAAAAATATATGAAAGACTGAATTCATAAACATAAAAGTGAAGGTAAGGTTTTGCTAGTATAATAAAACCCTACAAGAGAAATCAGATGGTAAATAAAGTAAGTGTTTTGTAATGGTCAGTACAACACTTAATAGCATTTAGATAAAATCATTTTACACAGACTTTACACAGATACAAAACACTTATAAAGGAAAAGAGGTTTTATTAGTAGGTTGCATAAGAAAGGTATAACAAAGGTGGTCTTAAACCACAGGTCAGATCAATTTTAATAATGCCATGCATATAACTGATGTTTCTTTCATTAATATTCCACTTGGAATTTCACAAGTATTTTTGAAAACACCCATTATTTTAGCACAGAAATATAGCACATATATACTTTTAAAATCAAAACACATCTAATATAATTATCCAAACTAAAGGAAAATGAAAACATACACAAAAAAAGAATAGTTGAAAGTGAATAAATTTGTTCATATCATGTATGACCCGAGAAATTCTTATATTAGAAAAAAACCAACAGATCTTCAATACATTACAATGGTTTCAAAGTATATCAGATTATCAATTTGATCTGATTATAGATATAAATACAAATTATTACTGAAAGTATGGTATTGATGTTCAAAAAGCATTTATTTCATGTATAGTACTGTGACTTCACTACATTTCGTTGGCATGAAATGTCATGGTTTTGTCACAAAGAAAATTTAATTTTTCATGGATTCTTAAATTTCTGGTCTGTTTATTTTTTCAAAAGGTAAAATGTAAATAATGCAATGCAAAATAATTTTACAGAAGACAAAATGAAATTTTTGTTGGATCTTAAATTTTCGGATTTACCTATCCACAAAAACCACGAAAATTAGTTCCCCACAAATTATAATGATTTTGCAGTAACTTAATTGTGAACTTCAAAAAAACTAAGTAGACTATTTGATGGCAAAATATATTGCAGGGTTGAGACAAAAAGAACAGCGGAAGCTGTTGTCAACCAGACAAGAACCTAATAGTAAATAATAACTGTCTTGGCCTTACTATAAATGCTATGATAGTTAACTAAATTAGTGTGATGAACCCTAAGATTGATACAAATTTCATTATAATGTGCAGTCAAGAAAAAACAACTGGAATTTAAAATCTTAATAAAAACAATTACACTATCTATCTAAGGTAAATAGAAGCACAACAGTCGGCCATTTATGTGTATTAAACAGCCATTTGTCACAAAATAACAATTTACTTAACTAATATTTTGGCATCAAATACAATAATTAACATGTGCAATTGTACAAAGTATAGGTTAGTGTTTGTAAGTCTGCAATAATGAAATAAGATGGGTCATGAGACATTGAATTCATGCTTACCTGCTTACAAACACTAACCTTCATAGTGGTTAAAATTATGTTTCAAATCTTTATACAATGTGGGTATGATGCGCTGTTTTAATTGGTTAATATCAAATGACAAGTTGGTGCTGATAAAATGAATTAAATGTATAAACAAATTTGAAAAATGGAGCGATTTCATAGGACGAAATATAATTTCAACCACTAAGATCATTTGAGTGCAGAAATACTTCTATTCCAAACATAATGGTTAATGTATATGGAATTAAATACTAATCAAAGTGTAATACTACAACCTTTAAAACATTAGAAAACTTTAAACAATGATTAATTTTACATGACTACTACATGTAATAACAAATGTTACAACGAAATGAAACACGAGTAAGGTATTCATTAGCAATTTGTTACCTTAACTAAATTCAGCCATCTTGAAATCTCGCTAAGACCATGACTATCTACCTAGACTTAACACACAATTATGCAGTTGGACTAGACCCTTTATTGTTGGCTTCCTTACCTTCCTAAATATCGTTTGTTACCCTCATTAACTTAAGTCGTTACTTACTTACTTACTGACTAAATGGATTTGATCAGCTTTCAATCTGGACAAAAACATTCATCTTTTTTAGGGAAAATTTCAAAATATACAAAAATAGAATAGCGATCATGATCAAAAGGCACAGATGTGCTGACGGATCTCAGTCTGCACTAGTCACATGGGTGTCTTCATTTGCCACTAGCAGGCTATGTGTTAATTTCAGCTATTTCATATCGAAATACAATGGTTAGTTGGACAGAATTTATTACAACGCTTTTATATAATGAGTAAGCATTAACCCCTTAATCTGCTGAATTTGTGTAACAGATAAGCTCAGTTCGAATTAGGAACAGTCCAACATAAATGTAGTGGTCTGCGCTGGTCACATGGGTGTATTCAATTGCCACTAACAGGGTTATGTTGGACAGCCCAGTTCAGAAAAGTTCATCATACAGTTATGTTAGTTAATACAAAAAGTTGGGCTACCAACAGTATACAGCCTGGTCAGACTGCAAATGTGTGCAAGGCTCGCCTAGCTCTAATGTGGATAGCAAAGGCCAATCACTTTCACTTCCAACAAGTTAAGGATTACAGGAATTACATGATTGTAGACTGACTGCTTAATGATCTAAAATATCATGATGTGCTACCTAATGGGTACATGTGCTTAAATGCTATGATTCTTCATTTTTTTTAATAATAGACTATTACCTTTCTGGCTGTTTGTAGAAGAGATGATGTAAGTCAAAATACCTTTACTCTGCCCTGTTCTTTTAGTTTAAATACTTTAAAATGTTTAAAAAACTTTATACCCTGACTCCATGGAGAACAATTTTGCATATAATGATTGTATATACGGGCATTGTCTTTATATCACCAAACTAGTTTCATGAGAGAAAAATTACAAAAAAATATTCAAACAAATACATGTATTGGCCATCTGTGATAAAACACTTTTTTTTAAGTCACCAAAGTTTACATACAGTTGATATTCATTTTATTACAGATAGAAGTGAAATAAGAAATAGAAGTGAAATAAGAAAAGTGAAGTAAGAAATAGAAGTGAAATAATAAATTAAAACTAGAAAATATCTTAGCCTAAATTGTAATAATTTTCACCAAAGAATGTTAAGTATTCTATATATTTACAACTTGCAAACAGCTTTTCTCTTCCTTCTTAATTAATTCATGAATTAAAAAAAAAATTGAACAGTGACTGATATAGAGTATATCTCACTGGTCTTACTTTCATTTATGAAGTAGAATTTTGAGGAAATGATGATGCTGAAATCAAACCAATGAATGCATAGTAATTAAATACAACACTATTTTAAGATATTTATGAAAACTAATTCAGGAGTGTAACAAGACATATACAGTCAAACCTTGATTTAAGGCCATCCAAAAGAAGGGCTTTACATTGCCTTTATAGGTAAATGGTCTTTATTTGGAATATACTATGGTTTGTCAAAGAGTGGTCTTTAATTACAAGATGGTTTTTATCCAGAGGTGGTCTTTTACCCAGGGTTTACTGTAAAATGACATAACCTTACTTAAAATTCCACTAATATTATTCCCATGCTGTAAAGAAACTTTTTTTACAGGTACTATCATTCTTATGGTCATATAAATTGTTGAAAACCAAAAATTTCTTTTACATAATCTCTTCTAATAAAAAAACATTGATAAATTTTGAATATCAAATGTACAGTAATAAGTGTATTATGCAGATAAATTTTATTTTGTTTCAAAAATAAAGAAAATACCTAAAATTCTTATCATTCCATATTAGAATTCTTTGCAATTTTTTTTTAAAAAATCCAACATATTCTATTTGAACATGTACATGTTTACAGGTTACATTGTACTACCAATGTATCTGTATTAACAATTTTTGTCAGTAATTTTCTAAAACAGCAATTCATAATCTACAAAAAAATGGCATATTTTGGTATCGCTTTATCACAGAATATTTCTATACATGAAAATACTTATGTCCCATTCTTAACCTTATACGTCTTTTTCTAATAAATCGATATAAAACAAATAAAATAACTAATGATACAGCACAAATTACATATGTCGTTGTGGATAACATGGATTGTTCTGATATGTGTTTTCCAGTCATAACTGGTCGCTGTGCGTCTAAAGGTTTTTTATTCGGTTTTCCAAGAATAAACTCATTTTTTGTCTCATCTTCTTTCCTTTGTTCAACCATATCATTTTTATCATCGTACTCATAATCATCTCCATCTTCTTCATCATCATCATAATCTTTCACCATCTTTAACCTTTCTTCGTCCTCAAATCCCTCTTTATCATAGTCAGGACTCTTCCCATGACCAATATTACGCGCATTTATATGTGGGTGAACGTTTTCCCGATCATTGTCATCATATCCATCATTATAACCATCATCTGCATTATAATCATCATCATCATCATTATCATTTGGTATATTATCATTATCATCAACCAATGGTTTCCCCTCATTATTCTTATCTTTATCATCATAATACTGATTTAAATTACGATCAATTTCACCATCATCGCGTTTATCATAATCTGGATACTCATCATCATCTTCTTCCTCATCTTCATATTCTTCATCATCATCATCATTATCATCATCATCATTCTTTTCATTATTATCATCATATTTATAATCATAATTTTCCTCATCTTTATTCAGATTAGGATTTGTTTCTTTGACTAGCTTATGATCATTACCTATTGCATCATTGTCACTGGCTTTATTGACTAATTTTACTTCCTGTTTAGAACCTTTCCCATTTACAATAACATCACTTTTCGCAATATCCTTGTTTTCAACATTATTTTGAACTTTATCAAACCTATCTAATGGATTAACAAGCTCATTTTCCTTATTCAAGTTCATTTGAAGTTTTTCAAAACCACCACCATTTTCATTATTAACACCAACTTTCCCAGCCTGATTATTTTTGTTATATATACCACCTTCACCTTTAGCTGAAAGGTTATGTACACCAGGGTTAGGTTGTTGAGATTCAATTACTTTTTTACCTCTTTCTATTGGTGGGGGTTCTGCAGAGTGTACCTTATGTTTTATAGAAAATAGTTTGTTAGCATCAGGCTCACATAGATACCTTAGGTACATAGCTAGAGCACCACTAGCAACTGCTGTTTTATGTGCTAGACATCCACCTGTAATACAACAAAATGTTTTATTCAAACAAAATGGTATCATTTAAAGAGAATAATCATTTTATACATGTACTAAATTTAGTAGAGATATTTTTTTTTAAAAATCTGTTTCATTTAGAAGTTTTTTCTCTTTACTTTAAGTACATGCCTAAAGATGAGCATAAATTTTCAAGAAAATCAAACTTGGGGAAAAAAGTACTAAGATTTAAAGAAAAGACAAAAGATCAAAATTCAAGTAGTAATTTATATGTTATGTGCAATTAATGACTGATTTTGCAGAATTTATCACCATATTTTTACTGCATGACTTATGCAGCAAGGTACATTTTTTTGTGCATATTTTGACCACTTTTTGCCAACTTATGTGAATTATAAGTGACATTTACAATGTGTAAATTACTTTCTTTGTTTACATCATAATATTTACTTTTCAACACATTTTCATTAAATAAGCATGAATCTGAAGGCATATTGCTTTAACAGGTTTGTCTTGCAAATTTAATGCAACTTTGTGGTCACCAAAAGTTTTTTTTCCTGACCAATAAATTGTGCCCAAAATAACATAAATTATGCTCATTCACACAAATGCTGGCTATTTTTTTTTTTTTTTTTTTCAATTTTATTTTGCCTAAAGTTAATATCCGGAAATTAATGACATATACATATATTTTTTTTTACCTGGCAACTGAGTTCCATGAATTTACAATCCCAAGAAATTGCCTTTTGTCAGCAAACCACAAAACTTTATGCCCTCAAATTCAAATGAGTTTACAGTATTGTTCTTATTAAATGGCTTATTAAATACACTAAATCCTGTACTTAATTAAAATCAATAATATTGTCCACAGAATAAATGCTACATGTTGTTATAACAAAGGCCAATTCAGTGGACTTTGCTATTGGGTTTTACTGTATCAACTTGCAATTTTCTTTTTTTTCTTCAAGTGGTTACACTAAAGCTAAAACAACTTAATAGCATGTATCAATCATTGAACTTGTACTTTTTTGTTTAATTATGGCTTACATAAATTATGTGTACATGATATGCAGTTTTAATTTTTGTTTGTGATTTACTATCTAACAAGACACACCTCAAAACTACTATTAGACATTTGCGACTTATAATGAGGAACGGGGATTGAGGATCGAGGACAGGTTATACAAAGGGATAATCTCAAAATAATCTAACATTTTATAATAAACACGGTTTCTAAGTAACGGATAACACAAGCATTGCAAGCGATAATTTGTGTTTGTATTACGTGATATTGTCCTGAATAATATTATTCCTGTGGCTCTACTTTAGGTGAGATGTCCCATCAATAGTCCTGACCGCCATATTAACTCGCATTTGTTTAATGCGTATTTCAAATAAAAACCGGATCACGTCTTTCACTGACGATACACTTACACCTTAACGTAACTCGAATAGCTTGCATCTATGTGTGCATTTGAAATACATTTTTGCCACTTCAGTGAGAAGTGTGGTGGGGTTATAAGCAAGCAAAAATCCTACCGAAATAAATGAACCAGATATTAAGTAAGCAAGATTAGGAGAAACGATGAAACTACATAAGTATTTACATCACAAATCAGAACTTTACCCTAGATCTGCATCATTCTTTATATATTTTGACATTGTGTAAAAATAGCTTTCAAACCCTGGGTAAATTGCAATAAAATCCATCATTGTTTTTTTTACTGACGCATTATCCTGATGTATTTTCAATATTCCATCTATAATTTATATCCTCCATAAGGCTTTTAGTAGACAGTCTTCTTTGATAAGTTCAAGCCACGTGATACCAAGTACATGAAAAATGGTAGTGACAGCTCCTGGTTTGGCGCTCAGCATTGAAACAGCATTGAATAATGTTTAATTATCGCTAGCCCCCCTATGTCTGATGTTGGAAATAAGATCGTGCACTTTAGAGTCTACAATAGGCGGATTGTAAGTGTATAAGTGTTGAAATATCTGGAAAAAAGTGATTGTTGAAATATCTGGAAAAATGTGATCCATCGGAAGCATTAAAAAACAGCAAAAGAAATCATGAAAATACAGACTCGGTTTGATTGGGTTGAACATGATGGATAAGAAAAGGTGCAACAATTCTTACGCCCCTAGCACCGGCTTAAGCGGGACTCAAATCTCAACACTTAAAAGTGCTGGACTCAATTATCTTAAAAGACTAGAAAAATACAGCAACACTGAAGTGAAGTACGGGGCACCTTTTTACGGCTGCTACACGGCACTTGACACCTGCTGCTTTGATGTATAACTCCGATTCAGTAACTCACTCCATTTCAATTTCACATTTCAATATTTTCAAAATATTGCCAGCGCTTTAGGCCGTACAACGTTTTGAAAGACGTCTTTTGAGTTAAGGGTTTAGTGCCGAAACAAAATACAGTTAGGTGCAGTCCCTATGGAAAGACCGGGCATCTAAACCAACGACAAGCTTAAGCGGCCAACATGCAGCAGTCATTGCTAGGTCAAGCTCTGATAAATCTAAACAGATGTATAAATGAGGACCAACATGGACAGCTGACCAGCAGCTTCGCTCGGGCCTAGTCCCGAGACAACTTGGTCCCGGACCAGTCCCACATGAGCTGCACAATCGAGGCCGTAGTCAAGATGTCAAGATATCCGTGCTCAAGTTGTCAAACGTTTTGACATCATCAAAGGACGACTATTTGTGCACGTCAGTGCACTAGACAAAACAACCGTCAACACCAACAACCACTGGCTGAGCTTATGAGAAAAGTTCCGAATTTATTTAGGGAACTTGGATTCAGTTCGTCTTGCAATTACTAAAATGAAAATTAAGATGTTAGGAAAGAAATACAGTAAGATATCCTGGCTTTATTTCAATGTTCATATTATGTGTTGAGATGACCCCTCAATATTAACCTAACTGTTCCTCGATAATCGTTCCCGGCATTATGTCGCAAATGTCTATTAAAGTGAAAATGGTGAGTGTACATGTAAAAGTCGAAATAACTTTACATTTTGGCCTGATTGTTTTCAATTTTGCATTCTACTATGAACCCATTTGATCCATGGATTTTTTATTTATAATTATCCAAATATCCTTCCGAACATATTGGTAATGTTCAAATGATAAAGGGGGGGGGGGGAAATGTGCTAATCTCATCATGTGTAAGAATGGTTAATATTAATGCTTTTAGGGCTTGTTTTACATTGCAAAGGTCCTGTAACCCTGTTGTTTACCATTAATCCAAATGGGTCACATTGAGAAATTATATTACAATTTATAAGAAGAAAATACATGTGTCAGTAAAGTGCACTAATTCAACTTTTTTATTGACATGAGTGGTGTTCAAATAATTATTTCTTAAAAATGCAATCATCTTACTTTTACAATAATTTAAGGTTACATGCTCTATACCCTCATTTTCAATCCATCAAATCTTGACAAGAACGTCAATCTGAATGCAAACAATACATTTACAAAACTCTTCAACACTTCATCATTTTAACAAATTATAACATAATTGAATATCTATGCATTTTAAAGATATGAATTTTCAATTTTTGCATACCAGGTTGCTAAAAGCTAACAATATAATATCAACACAAAACACTAACTGACAAAATCTTAGGCAAGTTTTCATGCCCCCCCCCCCAGCTTGGACAAGGGCAAACCTGTACCGTCCCCACCAGTAAGTATTTGGGGCATAAAAAATCACTGATACTTACCAGACATTGCTTTTTCCACCAAGAGTTTCCTCCCATTATTTTTAGGCATTTCCCACAATGCATCATTCCGTTTCTGAAACTTCCTTTCATCGGCAAGTCTACCATGGAATTTTATATTTTCAGCTGATTTGTTATAGTTTTTCTTAAGATTATCTACTTGTTTTGCAAATTTCAGTAGATTTGTTTTACGTTTTCCTCCATCCTCTTCATCTTCATAATCATCCCCTTCACCAGTTAATTCAGGATCAAATTTCGGTACATAACTCTTTGTTTTCTTCATTTTACCATAGCAACCACCTTTAAACTGCCAGGACAATATTTGTGGAAGAAAGTTCAAGTCCAAAAACTCGTAATACCCTAGGCTTGGACAGACAAACACTGGAAAACAAAGCAAAAATGGACCAATGGCACTTGTTTCCTGGTATACATACAAATATCAGAGTACATGTATAGTTTTGAATCATGCAATGCAGATCAGTTTGAAAAAAAAACTATTTAAGGAAGAAATTTTTTCTTTTAAAAGTAGTTAACATTTGCAACCATTATAGAACCTGGTCATATTAAATGGCTCTATACATTTGCCACTTTGTAGCTCATTTTTTGCATTCTGATATCGAAATCAAACTTTTGATGGACTATTTCAAATTCAAAGCAAGGATAATCCATGACGCACAACTAATGTTTGACTAAAAACTATATAAGTTTCTTACTTTGTTCCAGAAATAGATCTTGTATAGCTGGAACAAGGCCATGTGGTAATTTTTCCACTGTTTCCCTCAACTGTATATAATTGTTGGTACATAATTCCTGTCTTAAAATAGTCAAGTCACCACGACCTAGCTCAAATAAACGTGCTTGAAGTTTCTCAGTACAGTCAGCCTGCAGTACATGAATGTAAAATAAAAGTGAAAATAAAAATAGAAGTTAAATTCAAAGTTTAAACAAGCTCTCAAAAGAAGCTTCGAACAGATTATCATTGCCAATGCAAGTAAACTGTATAAGATACAAGAAAATCAAAATAGAAATGTACGTATTTCTGGAGGGCTCATTTGTAAGAAGTGCCCTTCTTTAAATATAACTGGTTGTTATTTCTGTTTTTCAATATAACACAAAAAGTTACACAATAATGATAATACAATTGTAACTTAATGTCCTAGATATGTCATATCAGAATCAGACTATCTTTGTACATCTTTATCCTTACCTAACTTTTAAGCATCTATATCTCAAAACATGAAATACAAAGAAAAAGTCTGAGGAAAAATTAATACAGAAGATGTTCTAAAAGGAAAAATCAATTAAATGTTATTCAAATAACTTCAATACATTCATTAAATGAATAAGAAAGATTTTTTTGTCTTCTATAGCTAAAAGTACATGTATTTTCATTTCAAATATTATACAAGCAATTATCAAATCCCCAACCGGTTAGAGCCCCATCAACATTCTGAAGGGCCATTGGCCATTCACTAATGTTTCAATTTTTCTCTATTTTAAGTAAATTTGTTGGAAAAGTTCTTTAAAAGTGATCACAGGAAACAGTTTTTATGAACAGACAGACAGACGGACTGAAGGACACTCTAAAGTTAATATTTGAAACATCCCTGTTACCAAAATATAACATTTTTAAAAGCAAAATTCTTAAAAAGGAGATAACTCTTGAATTAAAGATGCAATTTCATAAGAATTTTCAGCTCTTTTAGACTAATCACAAATATTGTTATATTTGCCATGTTTTAAGCCTATTTGTTGCCAAGGCAACCAATATTTTTTCAAAATAGGAAGAACAGATAAGACAAGCATAATCTCAAGACTGCCATCTACCCATATGTCAAGTTTCATAAAAATATTTCCAGTACTTTTTGAGTTTTCAATGGATTCAGTTTATGTGTAAAATTTGCCATATTTTCAGTCTATGTGTTGCAATAGCAACCAGAATTTTCAACATAGGAAGAAAAGAAAAAGACATGCATAATCTCCAGATTGCCATCTACCCATATTACAAGTTTCATAAAAATATTTCTATTACTTTTTGCGTAAACACTGGCTCCAGTTTATGTGTAAAATTTGCCATATTTTCAGCCTATTTGTTGCCATAGCAACCAGAATTTTCAACATAGGGAGAAAAGAAAAAGATGTGCATAGTCTCCATACTGCCATCTATCCATATATCAAGTTTCATAAAAATATTTTCAGTACTTTTCAAGTTATCGCGGGATCCAGTTTTGTGACGGACGGACTGACAGACAGACAGACAGACGGACGTTCTAACAGGAGAGTAATTATGTGGCTACTCTATTGTTCTCTCTATTGTTCTTTTTAGCCACACAAAAGAAAATAGCCACATAAAAGCATTACGGAATGAATGACATCAAAGAGAAAGAACAGTTACCTATTGTCCCTCTAGCCACATAATTACTCTCCTGTGAGTGCAGACAGACGGACGGAGGGTAACCTAATTAGGGGACTAATAAGAGATATTTCTGCCCATTTGATAATGTCAGACATAATTTGGCCTTAAACAGTAAAATATAGTCTCAATGTCAACATGTATATATGATTACCTTATCTGCTAACATTGTCCACAGAATCTGGTGAGTAATACCATATCCTAGCAACCCTGGACTTGTCATAATGAATGCACATTGGCTACTGATGTCACATGACTGCCCATGTAACTTGTGAGAACCAATCAGCTCGGACATACATTTGTCACTTGTTTCTTCATCCAAATTCACTGCAAAACAATTTGATTCATTTTGTTTCCTTGTGTTTTATTATGTCAATAAAATGATACCATTGTCATATGGTAACATGGGGATTTTCTTTCTTTACTCATAATTCTGGGAACAATGGGTACAAAGGTGAATTTAATTAATTTTTACTCTCCAGATGACAATCTTTTTCTCTCAAAGCCAACTTAAGATAACGAGATTCAGATTCATTTGTTAATTAAACTGCAAAGTTCCAGTGATTTCCTACACAATAAAAAGCGAAGACATTATTGCCGACATTGCCTTCTTAAACTGCTTTTTTAAGAAAATTCAATTTTCCTTGTAAATTTTTGAAATTAATACCATATATAATTATATCAAAACTATTTTATATTTCTAAAGTGGAGATCCTTTAATGTAAAATAGGAAACAGTAATAGGATCCAGGAACAAGCATTAGATACATGATTGTACTTAAAAAGTAGTACTTTTACGACGAATGATTTCATATTCAAGCTACTTACTTCAGGCAGAAAGCATCTAATAAGTCAGATCTAAAATCATAATTAAAATGTTTTAAAACTTCTAAAGAAGGAAAAATCAATTCATTTGCCAGCAAAATGTGCCTTTAATACATTATTGAAATACAGTAAAAACGTGTGCAAAACTTAAGAAATAAATACACCAATGAGATGATATGTTGTTTACCTGTTTTCTTGGCTGTCAGGTAAGTGATCTTGGACCAAGCATAGGTCATGTTGACTCTCCTACGATGGTCATCAAAAATATTCCATGCATTACTAACTAGGAAACTCATCTGACTGAAACGAAAAGTGCAAATAAAAATAAGGATTTTTTTATTCTTAATCTTAACCTTGCGACCACTACAGTATGGAGCAATTAGCACTTCTTGAAGGTATCGTGTCCCTGTTCGAATTCTGGTAATTGGAACAAGTGCTTAGTTGCACGAGCAGCACCACCTATAAACATGCAGCTATACAACAATCATACCAGTTGTATAAGTCAGAAAAAGTAAGTCTTTTTCATTCTTACAAATTTACAGAAATATTAAGCATGGTTGTACTGAAGGACATCACCCCACATCTGACTTCATTTAATGCTGTTAACTACTGAATTTTACCTTTTGAACTGACACTGAGATTTTATAAGACACTTCTATCTTCAAAATCAAAGAAGTCCACCAAGAGTAGAGAGACAATATCCTCAAAGAAGAACAAAAACATTTTATACACCAAAATATTTGTCAAGGTCTGTTGTATAGGTGGTGATGAACAGGATTATACATGTATAACTTAATACAGGACTGCGGTGTAGATGTATTGATTGTTAATGACATTAAAACATGTGTTTGAAGTTAGTTTTAAAACTCAGATAATGATGCATGTGCATATAGTGTAGATACCATTAATTATTCAAAATGATTTACAGATTGTCTATCAAGATAAAGGTAACTGCAAAAATAATATTCATTCAAACAGTGTCTATTCTGGGAGGGGGGATGGGAGGATTTACTCATATTTTTGAAAAATCCCTCCTACTAGTATTTTTTCAGAGGCAGGGGGGGAATTTTACATAGAGAAGAAGGAAACAGATCAACAAATGTGATATTTTCTCACTTTTCGATATAAATCCCCCATGTTTTTCAAATCCTAGAATAGACACTGTTCAAAAACATTTAAGGCTAAACAACTATTTGTGCTGAACAATATACAATATATTCTAGCAATGTAACAATAATGAAATGAAGATTATTATTAAGAAGATTTTTGGAGCTGAAATTGAGGTTTTGTCTTACATACATGTCTACTGAGGTGACTTAAAAGGCATCAAGGCATATTACATTTAATTTGAATAGAAATAACAAAAACTTGTATTTTGTCTAGACACCGACCATTGAATAAATACATGGGTGCAAGTTAAAAATTTCAGAAAACCTGAAAACCCTGAAGTTAGTATTATTTCAATTGATTTTATATAGAAAGAGAGAGAAAAAGAGCTTTCAAGAGAAGAAAAAACCTGAAGTTCAGGCAAAATGCCTGAAAAATTGTACCCATGTATATAGGGTTACAGTAGGCTTATTGAGTTGTCAATGATATTTCTAGGTATTTTAGAAAAATTTGTATCAATATCTAATAATTTACTTCATTGAGTAAGGCCAATATTTCACATGAAAAAGAGTGACTTTAGTGAGCTGTGAGACTTAACAGGACTGGTATGTTTATTTGCACATTATATTCTTTGGACTAACAAAAGTCAAAGAACTGAGGCAATAGGATAAATATATTGCGTTTTTTCCCCCTGTCACAATACACATACATGTACTGTTGTCTTCTTTTCTGGCAAGTCTGGCCAAACAATTGTGACAAACAACATATGTATTTCTTGGCCAGAGCCATTGACTCAATAATAATATATTAGAATCTGTACACCATGCCACAATATGTGAGCTTTTTAGTGAAGAGTGCTTATTGATGAATCTGCAAAACTAAATCTTAACATCAAAATGAATTTCCCCACATTTACTTTAAATACAAATTTGATTAAGCCATTGTTACTGTTGCTTTTTGGACTAATTTATAGAAGCATTTATAATAGCTGACTATGTAAATCAGAGAGTTACAGAACAAAAAGTTATTCATCCATGGCAAACCATCTCTACGTCTGTTTTTAATGTATGATTGTTTTGTCCTCTATTTTCTCTTTTTAATGACAATTTGCTTCCACTTTGCAACTAGTCGCTGTTTTAACCTTTTGGTTTATTTAATTAGTATTAAGATCTAATTGTTCATTTCAGAGAAAGCAGCTGTCTTAGAGTGTAATGTGACCTATGCATTAAAATCTGTACATAATATACACATTATAGTGTGGTGAAGTATAATATTTTATGTGCAATTATATGAACAGATCAGTAGACAAAGGTGTTTGTACATTCCAGGCAGTTGGTCTTAGTAATGGTAAATTAAAGTAAATGGCATGGTTTGAAAACTATGGTTCAAACATGTAACTATGGTCAGGCAATCATCAAACAGCTATGGATGTGCTGGCTGATCATGGTCTGTACTGGTCTGTAGCTGCCAGACGTCACAGAGTTGAATAAATAGAGTACATACAGACATTTTCTTGTACAACTTCACCAGAGGAAATCAACCTATGTATGTTTTACCCAAGGGCCGGTTTTCTTTTTTTTTTTTTTTTGCTAGTTTTGTTTTTGTTACAACCACTAAATCTAAATAAATTTCTGCACCAAGAAATAAATGATATCACAGTAAATAAACCATCATAAGATCTGAGAAAGTAAGCAAAAAAAAACCCAGTACAGTGCGAGCGTGTGTGCAAGCTTGTACTATTATAGATAAGAATATCCTTTGATAAAGCAGGAGTTTGCATGTCTGTAATCTATTTAATGATCTAATGGATTTTCAGGAGGGAAAACTGAAATGAAAGAGAAAATTGACCAATTTTTTAAAAAAAAATTTGAAGTGTACTACTAAATTATGCTGTAGCCGGACAACATTTTGTTGCATGTTAATTGAGCTCTGCAAATGAAGAAATTAATACAAATTTTCTATTTTTTTATTAGCCCATACTTGACCTAGAAAGGAAGCATTCTTTTTGAAGGGAGAATAAAATTCTTAGGTCTAAAAAAACTTAACTTCCTTTGGCTTGCATACAGTTTCTGCAGGAAATGAAATAATATTATGTAAATACTTTAATCAAGAATTCCAGTTTTTCAAACATACAATTTTATCCCTGATATAAGGTCAGTTTCCTTTTTTCAACAATTTGAATTTACCCTACAAACTCTGCAAAATATGATGAAAACATTTATAAGTTAATACAGTTTGCTTTTAAAAATAATTTAAAGGCCCATTAATCTTTGGTGTCCTGTTATACATTCTACATGTATTGGCATGTATTTTCCTAAACATTACCCATTGACCATTAACATCTTTTGCTTCTGTTGCTTTTTGACAGTGAGTACATTACTAGTCGATCGTGATAAAGCATATTGTATGGAAGACAAAATACTATTTAGTTTAGTTTACATTTTGCTTCTTTAGTGACAAATGATTGTACATTCAACTTTTTTTTCCTTCATGTGATAAGCATCTTACATGCTCTAAAACAGTTAAGCATTATTTAATCCTTGCAAAACTCTTGTTTGCACTGTCTATGGAAAGATGTTTATTCATTTCTGATGCATAACGACTGTCTTTAAGACATGAGAGAGTTTCATATAAGTTTAATATAAGCTTTAAGCTTTCTAATCAATCCTGAATGCAATTTATGTATTGAAATTAATTTTGTTTGAAAATATGGGAAAAGAAATAAATAATGTATGTTTAAACCAAGATCACTGATACTACATTTGTATTTATATTAAAGGAATGACTTTAGCCAACACAGTAAATTTATTGGGACTTATATATATATACTGATTTCAAAAATGAGAAGAAAAAAACAACTACATTAGTGAAAAGCTTTGATTTCAATCAATTAAGGTAATCTACACAATTAGAACTATACAATAAATTGTTACAGACTGAGTAAACATTTGAAAAACTTTCAACAATTTTGTGACAAAAACTTACAAGGCATTCTGATGATGCTGAAATGTCAAAAAAAAATTCTTTTTAAGGCCCACCAAGCCTTAATTTACTTACTAGATCATAAGTCTGATATATTTTGAGAGCTATATAATTAAGGGGTGTGGTGGCCTAATGGTTAAGGTGTCTTGCCATTTGGTCTCCACCGTTCAAACTCTATTGAAGTGATGACTATGTTCCCTAAAATGACACCAGTACTGGTTAGTTCCAGGAAACAGACACTGGTTCACAGCTACATGTAGGCTACAAGCTTTTGTCATTATTAAGCTAAAATAATGTTGAAACAACCCATAGAAACTAACGCTATAATTAGTCTACTGGCACAAACATGTAGTTTAGTCAAACTAAATTTACAATTGTTAATAAAAAAAAAATTGCTATTTTGACAATTTATCTTATCAAATCTTGACTGAAATGTGTTTACTAACTCCAGGGTGGTTACATTAGCTATAACGGCAGAATGCACTACACAACTTTAGATGAAAGTACCAAATCTCCAACTTTATATGAAAGTACCAGAACGTGACACGACTCATTATACTAAATACACATGAGCAACAACATCATTCAGGAATTTGTACTTCTATAATATCATTTCACATACCTCAGACATAGTGGAATACCACAATACAACAACTGGTAAAGTATCAACAGTTACTACGAAAATGACAAATTTGTTGCATTTGTTGTAAATCAAATTAGAAATGCTACCTTGTATAAGATCAACTTTTTAAGGATAATAAGCTAATTGTGTTTTTCTCACTTAATTTGGAAGTTGCCTCTTTATTTTATGGAGAAAAATATCGCTAAAATTGATAATGTGGGAAATAACAAAGTTGGGAAAACTGAACGGTTTAAAAGAAAATTTCTTGTGTGTGTGTTTGCTTTTGTTTACCCTCGCCACCGGAAAGAAACCATTTAACCTAAATATAGGGGATCTGTTGTTTATTTACTAAATGTTATATCAGTGTTATATGCATACCATATCTCCCATAACAGGGTCGTCTCTATGTACGACCTGTGCCATGGAAGAATTTGGGAAAAGACCTTTTATACCTGTCATAAAATGTGAAAAATCGCTGAAACTGATCAACTTTAAGTCTGGTGCAGTGATGGGTCTTTAATCTGTTTTAGTACATTGTAGGTCAGACACTTTTAATATGCAATTTAAAGATAATTAAAGAATCTGCTTACACATGAAATCAATTCCCTCTCAAGAAACTTTATTTCTCTATATCTAACATCTATATAATCATATGACTTGAAGAGAAGTTGATGATGGAAATAGAATCATCTCTTAACATGTTCAATTTAATGCAACCTCAGTCTTGTCATAAAATTTGTTATATAACTTTTCATATTAATGATATGATATTTTCTAGAAGATATTTCTGAAATATAATAAAATTATTACGGGTTGTTTCTAAACAGCTAAACAGAACTTATTCAACTTACAATACTTGAGTAAATCTTGCAGAATGTTACAATTGGCTTTAAATTATTGCCACTTGCATTGAAAATAGTTACCTGCTGAATTTCTCAAATGGACTTGTCCAGTTTCTATTTTTGGAATAATCAATTATCAATTTTGGGGATATAATCAAGCAAGGTGTTTCTTTGTCACAGTACACATAACACATGTACATGTATACCAATATCTAAATTGGTGCATATATAATCATGATCTTGGGAATTGTCAAATTTAATATTTCCATTTACAAAATAAATAATGAAGAACATAAATGTGAATAAAACAACTAATACAACCAAAAATATGGCAAAAAAACATGGAATATCAAAAAATATAGAATTTTTTTTAAACATTTTCATCATACTGCACTATTTGTGTGTCATAAAAAACAATTTTAACAAAGAAATGCTTTACTTTCTCTTCTGAATGACATAAGGAAGTCTAAAAATAAACCAAACTTGAAGTACGGTACTTAAGGCAAAAGTGCCTCAAAAGTGCCTCTTTTGCTTCAAAGTATTTTTAAGTATTTTAGCATCATTAGGTGAAACAAAGATACCATATATGTATCAAAAATGGTCTCATATTTCTTCTCTCATTGATTAAAGCAGTAACAGTCAGTAGATGTCAGTGGATGACTCATAAAGTGCTATTAATTTTTGATATAACACTTACATTTCATGTTTTTCAACAACAAGTAAGAAATTGAAATTAATTTTTTTTTCAAGAAAATTTTGAATAAAAAGCTTTCTCACAACATAAAGTTTGAAACAATTCATAATTTTAATGACTGAGAGTTTTAAAATGTTTGTAAGTGTTTGATATAAGTTTTAACTATCAAAGTATGAAAATAAGATTGAAATTCATGCAACAAAGAATATCTTTGCTTGCTTTAAAAAAAACAAAAAACTTTAATTCTAATTCATATACTTTTCTTTTTTTGTACATGCACCACTGATACACACTTGGACATTTGAATGCAGGTTCCAGCTATTTCTGAAAAAGACCCCCAGCATTAAATAGGTACTTTTTTTTTCAGCATTTTGAAAAAATTGAGAAATACATAATATTGAAAAACTATCTTATACATGCCTTTAAAGGTTATCAACATTAGAACAATCATATAACCTGTAACCTCTTCTAAACAATTTAGAAAAGTTTAATTTTTCTCAGAAGAAACATTTAATTATGTTTTTAAATTGGAAAAAAGGCTTTTTTAGATTGGGAATGGGGCCTTATATTGGCCCCTGGTGATATAGTGAAGCTGGGAAATCCCGCACCAAGATAAACACAGTTAAGTATATGTAGAAATGAACATGTCAGAAATTATATAAAAAGCTGTCCCCATGAATAATGAATTAAATGTAAAAGCATCATAAGTGTAAAAGCTATACAATTTTATATGCACAATACTTAAGCATAATACTAGTACACTTTTTTTTGCTTGAAAGATTTTCAGCTGAGTTATTGCGTGAATAGAAATGTCTTTTGCCCTGCTAATGATTTTTGGGTCTCCAGCTACACAGTTGCTGCAACATGCGATTGGCTATCATGAGGCGACACATGTGATCACTGATGGCCTTGTGTAAACATATAAGTGTTTTTTAAACACATGCAACCACTTACTCACTAAGATATGAAAATATGCACACCATTTTAAGTAAAACTGATTATGTAATAGGAACAAGTGTAAAATGAAGAATTAAGAATTTAGAAATATCAGCAAGAGACATAGATAACATAGTTATCTATGTCTCTGTATCAGCATATGATTAAACAAAGGTCAAACTGGAAAAAAATGAATTTTTAGATGGAAAGAGGTTATGAATCCACTAGCATTATACTTTTATGTACCTAAATGTGTTAAATTTCCAAAGGGAACGATTTATTTTATCCATAAGAATAGGCCTATTAATATTAAAATGTCAATACACATTCATGGAGTCACCACTCCAGCAATATAATATGTTGGAAACAGAAAATGTATGACTTGTTGAAAATGACCATAATTATGTGCATCAGAAACATACACTGTCTGTTTCTTTAAAGATTTTTTGTTAACATGTACATGATATGCATTTGGCTAATTTTCTGGCCATAAATACAAAGCACTGATGGAGGCAAATTGTTACTAGTGTTTTAATGAATTCTCACATTTTCTTAATAACATTTTTTAATGGGATATGCACATTTTTCTGTAACTTATCAGCAAACATTTAAGGTATAACTCAAGCATTTTTGAGGAAAAGTGATATATTTGACATTGGAATAAGAGACAGACTCAACTTAGACCTATATTGCACTGATGAAATTTAATTACCTGAGATAGTCTTTTATTTTACTTGTAAATAAAAAAGGTAAAAATAGTGTAAATTACCCTAAAATTTTCACAGAATGTGTATTTGACCTTACTTTATCAAAATATGTAAAAAAGTGATTTTTGGTAAAAATGTGACTTAGACTAGTATTGCGCTGAGCCATCGATTTGACATATTAAGACTTACTTAAAATAGCTTTCACCATCCTTTTTTACATGTTCTAGGGCAAGATTACATGTTTTTGTTGCCTTTTCTCTCATCTCTTTAAGTTGAGACACAATACTTGTTTTCAGGTGCTGTAATTGTCCGGACCCATGCTTCGTTATCAGTGCTCCAAGATGACCTAAAAGTAAAAATTCAATCACTTGTAAACTAATGTCAAGTACTTATAAAAAATCTGACTTCAAACCATTAAGTTTACTTATAAGAATAAATGACATGTAAATTATCAACAGTGGCCTAATGAGCCCTAAGACCATTGAAGGTGAGCTTTGATGTTTTTGAATTATTGTGTGACCAAGTAAAGATTTGTAGGATATGAGCATTATATGTTTATGTAAATAATTTCCTAAATACATTTCATTGCATGTACAATGTATGTTGCTTTATGTTTTAAGGGATTACCATGGACTAAAAATTTAGGGAGAACTGAATTCACCCTTCAGGAAAAATATGGGTAAGTTTTGAAAGTTAGTGATAAGTGATGCTTACATGTATTGCAACATCTCATCAAATCAATTGGATTGTTTTTTTGTGTTTATTTTTCAATTTTATTTCACAAAATAATAATAACAATGTGTTACAAGTAGGCCTATACATGCATATAAAAATTAAATATACAGCATACATGATGTACATGATGTATATGGCATATAAAAATATAAATGAACAAAATAATTATGTATTTGAACATCTGTATGATATAAGGAAATACATGTTACATGTTACATGTAGTACATGATGTACTACTATTACTAGTTCAATCTTAAATGTATCCTGTTAAATTGCTCATTAAAGAAAGTATGCATTTATATCAACACAAGTTATCATATGCACATAGTAGTCTTTAGCACAGTATACATAATACTGTTTTTACATGAAAATGACAATCATTCCATCATTGAGTCTTATTAATATAAAGGATCATAAGCACGTAGCAGCCAAACACCATTCTAATCTGCTACATACCAATTAAAACTATCTTGATTTAGGTTCTTAACAAACTTTTCATTTTGGAGGTTCAACAGTTATATATATGACTCTTATTCTAACATTCTTTCAACACCGTTTCACAAGATAATAAATCCAAATATTGTTTTCTGAGCCATGTATCAATGCAGTTAATGAACAATAAAAGATTTTTAATCCATTACATGTATTAGATAATCCAAATTCTATCACATTTAAAGATGTTGGCTACACTAAGCACATGTGCTAATTACATCAGATTACACAAGCAGTTTTATCAAGTAGTGAAAAATACATGTCAGATTTTTGGGCAACAAGAATTTTGCTTTTCCAATAAAATAGGGTGAAGTGAAAATATTTTCGTCTAAGTTTTTGCCTGCCTTCACCCTCAACACAATCCCTGTGTTTTACTGATCAGATACCCACTAAATCACTTGCAGAACTGTAACTATTCTTGTTAGAAATTTGCCAGATATGTCAGATTAACTTAGACTGGTTAAGAAGTGTGCTCTATAAACACTTCTATAAACAATCAGCAGCAAAACGTTTGGACAAACATACATGTAGGGCTTGTAGGCAAGCAGACCCATTCCCAACAGCAAATATGCTTATTCTATAATCAATAGCACAATTCAGAGTACTACACCAAAAGAGTCTGCACACTGGCTCAAATAAAATAATAGCCAATATTTTCAACTTAAAAAAAATAATAGCCAAAAGTTCAGCGGACTATTCACGAATTAGCGATTAACATCATAAGCAGTTGATTAAATAAACATTACATTTATAAAAAACTTTTTCAGTTTTATAAAGTTTCTCAAAAAACTGATACATTTGTGTATATTGATAACTACCTTTTTTTTTTTAAACAGAACCACAACTTTAATTGTTATCATAGAACAGAATAAAAATGTTAATTATAATTAGTATAATTACTGTATAACAATAATTTTAAAGATTCATTATAACTTTACATAATGTTGTTATCAGACAACTTCTTTTGTATGTTCTAATCAAATTTTGTCAGCTATAACCACTGTCAATTTCCACATTTCACACAGAACTGGAGTAGATCTAGGTCATATTAGCCTATAGAAATAACACAAGTTTGCAAACTCATTCACAGAATGCAGCCTTTTTTCTGAATAATTTACTGAAAAATATCATCATCACCAATGTAATACAAATTTTCTGCCATAGCAGTAGAGATTTTTAAACAGAACATAGCTTATTTCACCTTTAAATAAATATCAAAATTATCGGTGTCGTGAAAATATGTGACAATCAGATTTTTTCTGTTTTCTGGAGAAATATTCACAATTTTGGTTGTTGTGCAAATAGTTGTTTTGAAGTTAATACTTTTTAAATATTTTACCATTGTTTTCCACTGGCGTTTCAGTCAAGTAGCTTAAAACAAAAAAAATCAAAATTTGCAATTACTGCAATTCACGGTAAATTTTGGGTAAGTCAATATCCACTTTATCAATTTTAAAACGTTTTTTGTGGCTAATTGACGGATATTTGATGGCTATTTTAAAGGCTGGACAATATCTTTAAAATACTTATACAATTATACATCTCGCATGTATTTTATCACCTCGGGTAATATAGTAATCAGCACGTGACCGGTAAAAAGTTGACACTCAATTAAATGCACCCCGCTGGTGTTAATTAGGTCTACTGCATTCTTTATCGATTTTTACACCTTATATAAACACTGTTGGAAGTAAAAATTAATCGCCAGATTTTGTAGCCAAAATGCAAAAATAATCGCCAATCTTATAAAATAATCGCAAATGGCGACTATGGCGACCGACAGCGTGAGCCCTGAAGGAGGTTTCAAAAGGTATCAAATATTTTTCCCAATTAAACAATTTAAGATGCCAAATTTCTTAAACTCTGCTTCTAATAAGGTTCTAATTCCCCCAAAATGACTAGAAAAGATCTGGTGATGTAAATAGTTATAGTACAAAAGCTTTTTCAATAGGTAAAATATACAATTGTGAATTTGGAATATTTTTTAATTTAAAAGTTGATTCATCTGGCAGCAGATATATAAATGTATGCAATTGTGACTATATGTATGTTTAGACCTGACATTCCTAATAATACAAATGTAGAGGGCAACAGCATTTAGCAGATACATATGCAGTTTAGACTACCACAAAAACTCAAATAAAAATTTGATGGCTCTATGAGTATGAGTGCATTTAGAATTTTGTTCATGAAACAAGCACTGAAGTGCATAAAAGGGCATGCTGGTCATGTCTGACACATTTCACAAAGTTTGGTCAATATTTTCTAATTAAATTAAGTTAAATGGCTTTAAAACTTGATGAATTTCAACTTCAAATCAATAAATGGCAAAATGCTGAAAAATGTAATACATGAACGATTTAAACAGATTAAGAGGACAAAAATGAATGATTAACTTAGCTGTCACAACCATATAATCTGATAATTGTAGAATGACTTTTAAAAGAGGAAGGGTGCAGTAAACTGACATGAGTTTAAGCACATTAATCATTTAATGGGAGAAAAGCAAGGACGTAACTTAGTAGATTTATAAAATAATCAACCTTTAGTTTAAGCGTAAAATTATACAAATGGATTTATTCCATAGTATGAAGTTTGAAAATTATTCTAAAAAAATCTTTATATTAGCACCGTTGCAGTAAGCTAAAGTTAAAACTTATCAAAGTAACACTTCAAATTTATTATAGTTCTACATCGCGAAAACTAATTGCAAAATATACCTTCCAAAACTCGAAGTCCATAAAGTCCGTCAACATTCAAATTTTTATAATCTCTTTCGTAGAAATCAATAATTTTTTCAACAGCTTGTAATACAGATTGCAAGTCCTTGTCAATATTATCCTGTTTTGCAAGTGGAAGAAATAAAAACAGCACACAGATTATCAACAGAACCGATGCCATTTTTGGTTTGTGTCCTCATAACGGTAATAACCGAACATATCCAAACACAGCCACTACTGTAACTTCTTATATTTTCGCGGTTATTAAATTTGTTTCGTTATTAAGGAAAATGACTGTCATTGCATTTTGCGCATTTTGAAGCTTGAAATATGAAGTTACTTGTGTCATAGGCCAGTTTGTTTTGTATACTGTACCTACTTTATGAAAACATTTTTATTTATAATTTATAATAAATAGACTGTACTGTATATATGAACTTACAAGAGCTGTCAGGTACTAGCTGGCTCATCACAGTCAGATAATTATTATAAATGTCCAGTTTCCTCATTTGATGTTGATGCTCTTTATATAAATACTGAGTGTATGTATATATTTTTACTTTTTTAGGATGGCAATCGCTAAATATGTGACATTTGTTTGTTATCAATAGATCTACCACTCTGGGTTGTCAATAAGTTTTCTGAGATGGCTTGTTTGGCTGAGATGTGTGTGGACGTTAGTTTGCACTGTTCATGGATGGTACCATCCATGAACAGGCTCAATCAAATTGAGCCTGCAACAATTTCAATTTTGTTGTTTTGGACTTTCTTTAGGGATTTAATATTTTCTCTATTTTGTTATAACGTCAGAGGCATAGATAGAGTCTACATGTTATCTATGTCTGTTAACTTGAGGTAATCATTTTTGGTTTTATCATATCCAGCAAAGACAGTTTTCTAAGTTTAACTTTTTAATGGCAACCCTTGCACAACAATGTGACCCTTGTAAGTTTACACAATTGTTCAGTTAGTGTATTCAATCGTTTAGTGGCATAAAGGGGAATATTTGATAGGATATGCTGTACATGCAATTGTATTAATTGCTTGGCCATATAATATGTTTTTACGCCATAGCTATTATGGGTTTTACTATGGCCGTGCGACATGTATTAGTTCCACATGCAATATTTAGTATCATGTGGACGTGAGATAGGTATTATATAAGCATTTGCATGCCAAACATATGGCATATGGCCATATAATACCTTTTGCATGGCCATGTAATAGCCATCATTTGCACGGCATGTTTGATATATGTGCATGTAATTTGGTATGCATGACCACATAATACTACCTTGTATCAACATCTGGTAGCCGAGTGTAGCCTATATAATTATGTAAGGATTACTTTTTACTACATACACATTGTCATCAAATGATAAGAACTTAATTAGAAATACAGATAATATTTAGAACGGTTGGGTACTAAGCACAATATACCATACAGTAAGCACGCGAAATAGCTATACTTTACAGTAAATTGAACACATTTGACAGCCGGAAGTTGCAGATAAAACACGTAAACATAATGTATAGTGTAAGTAAAGTTATTCTTTAATTGTCTGTTTCAAGTCTATATTTGTACAGGTATTTAAACACAATTTTAGACGACTACGATAGGCCTTCATACAAGCGTTTTCTTTGGAGCAGTGAGTCGAAGTGTCATGCAATCATAGTGTCATGAAATTCGGATGTCAATTTTAGCCAGAAGATTGAGAAGTAGCACGACTAATGTTTAACGTCAGAGGTGTTCATTTATTCCAATTGGTCGTATAAAAAAATTAAATTTTATAAGTATTTGCATCATCTCAGAATTTTATTTTCGTACAATGTATTTTCATTGTTTTGCAATTGCAATAAAATATTGTAAAGGATAATGAGAAGTGTGACATAGGATTTCCTTGTTAAAATGCTTTAAATGAAATTGAATTGATAATTTCAATATATTAAATAAACCTTACATTTTTATACAGCGGAAAAAAATTCAGTGTATGTTAAGCACCTGGTGACTTAGTCCAACTAATTAGACTTGTGTCAAAGAGCCACTGAGATAATTTTGGACGGGCGCTGTCTTTTTAATGGTTTGACAGCCAGAAAAAAAAGTTTGTAAAATGGGTTGAACCGTTCATGCCTCATTAATTGGGCTACTGGTGACTTGTCATCTGTCATGATCTGTTAAATCTTCCATCCAGCTCGTTCCAGTCCTACCATCATATGTTTAAATGGTCAACATCTTGTAAAGTGGTCAACAGACCTTTTTAGGGTGTAGTGTGGAACATCAGTTTGTCAATGGGACAGTTGTGATACAATTGTGTAAAATAGTTTTAAAAATTTATGTCGGAACACGCCACTCTACACCGATGTACAGTCTTCACCTCCTCGACGTCAATGTCTACTTCGTGGATTTTGTCGAGAAACCCCGTTGAAGTTGAAGTTAGCAGTTTTTGTGTCCAGTCTGTATTTTATTTTAACCGGTGAAAGGAAATTGAAACTAGATCTATACTTGGCAGAAATGTTTACCATAATGAGATGATGTTCAGAGCGCAAACTTGCCCTTCCTCAGGTCAAGGTCAAACTTAGTCATTTTGTCTCTATTTTTGGAACCAGAAGAAAGAAATTAAAATTGTTTGGCAGAAATATTACCTATATAGATTAATGACAAGAATTTTTTCATATTAGTGACAGGAATTCTTTCCCTGTATGAATTTTTCCCTGTATTTTACAGCCAAATAAAGGCTGTTTCCCCAAGCCAAAAATATGTCTATTCCCTCCTAAAAATGCTAATATTTTCCCCAGAACCATGACTTAACAGCAGCTGATTTATATCAGCTTAAAGACTGACAGCTCTCCCTATAGATAGCCTCTGCTAAGTACTATGCATGTTAAATTGAAAATTTTATAAAATGTGTGGGTAAATTCCATTCTTAGTTGTTGGAATTAAATTTTCCCCTTTTCTGATTTATCACACAATATTTTTCCCAATGGAAAGCCACAGGTTGTTTTGAAAATTGAAAAAAAAATCACTGAATGAGAAGATGTGCATAACACAGGTTTGGGCTTCCCAAAATTGGCACTACCCTGCGGATTTATAAAAACTTGTATAAGGAAATATATATAAGTTTAATTTTGTGAAAGAACAATCTCTAGAGTTTAGATATTTAGCATGTAGTAAATGCCTTTACAAAACTGATATGAATCATGCCTCTTGGATTAATATTGCCCCCACCTTAGGGGTCACTTGAATTATATAATGCCCCAGCTTAGGTATTTGGCATGTAACATCACTATATATAGACCACAAAATAACTGGTATTAATCATGCCCTGGGACTTAATATAGTTTTGTATATTGTATATTTAGTTGGTTTTTTTTGGTGAAACTACATTGCCTACAGTTAAGATATTTGACATGTAGCTTTGTCTTGTTGACCTCTAGAAAAATGATATTGGCCCTGCCTCTTGGGTCACTTAGTTGATAAAGTCTTGTATGATAAAACATATTTCTGTCTTACTGGTATTTTGTGGATCTACAATGCCAAGAGCTAAGATATTTTGCATGTAGCATTATCCTGTGAACCTCTTCAAAACTGATAATAATCATGCCCCTGGTGTCAATATTGGCCCACCCCAGGGAGTCACGACTTGCTTTATGTAGAATACAGTATAGGAAAACACATTTTATCTTTTTGTGAATAAATACTATGCCTCGATATTTGGCATATAGCATTGCCTAGTGGACCGCTATAATATAAAGTTTTATAAGTCATGCACATAGGGTAAAAAAATGTCTCCACCTTGCGGGTCAATTAGTATCACTATCATAAGGATAATTAAGATTTTATAAGAGATTTTTAGACAAGTTTCTTGATTGGGCCTCTACTCTTATTAAAAGACTATATTGCTTACCCAAACATGTATCGCCCTGCATTTGTGGTGCTCTTGTTGTTAACAATTATAAAAAAAAATTTATGTTAAATAAATATTTTGATATGAAAAACTGAATAATTTTTAGGGTTGTAACAATAGTATAAAAAGTATATTGTAATATACAGTATTGCAATATGCAATATCTGTATTGCAATATATAGTCATTATTAACTAAGAGTGTATTGCAATATATATTCAATAAACCAATAGTATATTGCAATATACAGTCAATAAACCAAGAGTGCATTGCAATGTATAGTCAATAAACCAAGAGTGTATTGCAATATATAGTCAATAAACCAAGAGTGTATTGCAATATACAGTCTATAAAACAAGAGTGTATTGCAATATACAGTCAATAAACCAAGAGTGTATTGCAATATATAGTCAATAAACCAAGAGTGTATTGCAATATATAATCAATAAACCAAGAGTGTATTGAAATATATTGTCAATAAACCCCAAGAGTGTATTGCAATAAATAGTCAATAAACCAAGAGTGTATTGCAATATATAGTCAATAAACCAAGAGTGTATTGCAATATATAATCAATAAACCAAGAGTGTATTGCAATATATAGTCAATAAACCAAGAGTGTATTGCAATATATAATCAATAAACCAAGAGCATATTGCAATATATTGTCAATAAACCCCAAGAGTGTATTGCAATAAATAGTAAATAGACCAATAGTGTATTGCAATATATAGTCAATAAACCAAGAGTGTATTGCAATATATAATCAATAAACCAAGAGTTTATTGCAATATATAGTCAGTAAACCAGTATTGCAATGTACAGTCAATAAACCAAGAGTGTATTGCAATATATAGTCAATAAACCAAGAGTGTATTGCAATATATAATCAATAAACCAAGAGTGTATTGCAATATATTATCAATAAACCCCAAGAGTGTATTTCAATATATAGTTAATAAACCAAGAGTGTATTGCAATTTACAGTCAATAAACCAAGAGCACCATATTTATTTTCCTTTCACTTTTAGTCACATTTATGAACTGCCTTACTGGCAATATTTGCCATGAAATCAAACTCTTTCAGTTTTCATTATTCTTTACAGGACAACTACTGCTTAAAGCAGCACGCCTCCAGATTCATGTTAATTTTCATGAAAATTTAGGAAATTTATTTAAAAGTAAAATATTATGAGGTGAACAAATAAAGTAATTTACATATTGCAATCAGCACCTACAGTCCAATATTGAATATTTTTACTTTTCTTAAAATTTTAGTACATTTTTCTCAATATTGATTGTCTTGAAATATTTTGGCTCATCTGGAGGCTTTAAAGCCAGTACCTCATAATCTAACTCTCTTTATAAACAAGATTGAAACTTTTGTATGTGTTTCTAAATTTGTATTGACCTTGGCAATTGCCTAAAATTGTATTGCCCTTGAAAATTAACTAAAATTGTATTGACCCTGGAAATTGACAAAAAAATGAATTGTCCTTGAAAATTGACCAGAAAATAAATTAGCCTTACAAACTGGCTAAAATTATTGAACTTTCAAATTGACCTAAACTGTATCGGCTTTGAAAATTGGCTAAAAATGTATTTACCAAGTGGAAATTGACTGAAATTTTTAATTGGCCTACACTTGGCTAAAATTATTGACCTAACAAATTGACCAGTAAACTGTATCGACCTTGTTAATAGGCTAAAATTGTTACATTGCCCTTGAAAATTGATTAAAATTGAATTGAGACTGTTGTCCTTGGGAATTAATAATGTATTGACCTTGGAAATGGACTAAAATTGACTAAATTAAATTAGCCTTACAAATTCGCTAAAATTATAGATCTTGCAAATTGGCCTAAACTTGATTGACCTTGAAAATTGGCCTTAACTTGATTGACCTTGAAAATTAGCTAAAATTATATTGACTTTTGCTTAAAATTTGGTTCTTGTTGTATGTAAATGTTAGGAATAAGGTACATAAGCATTGCTTGTATAAGTCTGTCATATACAATGTATTGGACAAACATACATGTACAAGTTGTAAAGAATGAATAATGATAATGATATCAATCCCAATCAAGTGTCCGAGAAAATCTTTCCAGATTTGCTTCATGTTAATGAATAAAAGTAACATTTCCAGGGAGTACATGGCATTGAATGGGACTTGTCTTTTACATTATTGATGTGGGAATACCCTTTATGTTTGACCGGGAAAAACTTCTGATTTATTCTGATACCAGGAATTTGATCAATAACTACTGATGTGAGATTGTTTGTATTTCTCTCTTAATTGCATGTTTTCTGTCATTTCTGTTTGTTAACATACAAGTTGATTGTTTAAAATTTGTTTTTTCATTAATTTAAATTGTTAACACGGAGAAGCACTTTTCCAAACAAAGTCAAGGACTAAGTGTTCCAATTTAATTATAGAGGTAAGCTTTAGCAAACTTTAGAAGCAATCACTGCAGCTCAATTGGAGAATGCAGCCTCATTTGCAGCAAATTTACAAGGGAGTTTACTTAATACAGTAAATTTAAGGAGTCATTCATTAAAAACAGCAAATTTAAGGAGTTAATTGTTTTTGAAAGCCATTAAGGAGTTATTCATGAAAAACAGCAAATCTAAGGAGTTATGATAATGATTGCAGAAAATTTAATGTGTTATTCAAAAAGTTTAGTGTATAGCAATGTTTTGACAAGTTTTTTTGAGAAGTACATGTATCTGCTGCATAGAGTTGGAGTAATAATTTCAGAAGATTCAATTTAAAGAACGAATGTTAGGTAATTGATAGTGTTGCATGTGTACAAACTGTGACACCTGTTACTTCACAGATGAACATTTGGATTAAAAGAAAAAATAAAACAGGAAGTATTCCTTTTAATTTGTCATTGAAAACAACATAATTATGTAAGTCAGCTAAGATAGCCTTAAACGATGTTTTGTGACGAATTTCAAATGTGGGTTTTTCCAAGCTAATCTCCTGGTTAAAAGTTTTACTGTTATCGCTTGATGGTGCGGTACTATTCACACTTTGTATGTATCCCTGGATTTTCTTGAAAAAAAAACTATTCTTCATTGATTGATTCCCAGTAAGTCTTCAAAGAAATTCTTTAGTTTTTGTATAATTCTGTGTTTTGATATTAGGTGTTTGTCTCAGTGTTTGAAGCTTTGCTAAATTAATGCTCTTGCTTGTAGATAAAATAGCTTTTCTGGCAGAGAAATGTACCAGATTGAATGCTAGATTTGGTAAAGAAAATCGTTTTATTCTAAGAATGCAATCTTATGACTGTAGATTTACTAGACATGAGAAACTGGTATTATATTAGATAAGAGAGGACTATGAATAATATATAATCACATTTATAATGGTTGTAAAAGGAAATTAGAAATTCTAGCAGGAAATGGTATTGTACCCATAAACTAATAATACAGAATAATGCTGGAAGATTTAGAATATAGCAAAATGAATAATCAAGAATTAGATTAAAGCTGTGTTCATTTGTGTAAATTAAATACTGTATGATATTGAAATTTGCTTTAGAAAAGATGTTTTGACAGATGTATAATACATGTACAGTATAATTATGTGTGGGTCAAGGCCTGATTTAGAATCTAGACTAAGCAGCATTTTTGTTTTATAATTGATATTGGATTTCAATTATTTCACATTGATTCTGTTAGAGTTATATTACTGCACCAGTATATGCACTATTTTCAGGCACAGCCATCAATAATGTTGAAAGTTTTATCCTCATATTAATTATCTGGATAGCTCTCTTGCATAAAATTATTCTGCAGCCTTATATGGACCAGAATCAAGAATGGCACATGACATATTCTTTACATTGGTTTGAACCTAGAATTGTGCATGGCAAAGTCTTAATGGTGATTTGAATCTAGAATGCTGCATGGCAAATTCTTTACAAGGATTTAAACCCAAAATGTTGCACAACAGTTTGTCTTGATGGGGATTTTCAATCTAGAATGGTGCTTGGCAAATTCTTAACGGGATTTGAATCTAGAATGGTGCATGGCAAAGTCTTAATAGTGATTTGAATCTAGAATGGTGCCTGGCAATCTTTACAGGGATTTGAACCTAGAATGGTTAATGGCAAAGTCTTAATGGTGATTTGAATCTAGAATGGTGCTTGGTAATATCTTTAGCGTAATACTCAGGAAATGGTTCAAAGACAGTCAGCAACCTTAGTCAGGGGAGCACTTTGATAGGTATTAATGGACTTAACCAAGTACACTTCTATTTGCTGTGTGTAGTCAAAATTGTCACCAATTCTTAAATACCAGCAAACTATATAATGCATTGTGAAAGGGTTGTTGTGTCATGATGATCTTAATTTATCTTTGACTGTTTTATTAACCAGGTTTTCCGAAGGAAAAAACTGGTTATTAGATTGAGGTATGTTGGCGGGCGGATGGGCGGACGGGCGGGCGGGCGGACGTAAACAATTTCTTCTGTGCGCAACTCCTTCTACGCGGCGGACGGATGGGCGGGCGGGCGGACGTAAACAATTTCTTCTGTGCGCAACTCCTTCTACATTTCTCAACGGATTTTGACCAAACTTTCACAGAAGCTTTGTCATCAAGTGCCCTGGCGCATATTGTCTGGGTTTTGCGATTGGATAATATTTGACCTAATTATGGCCCTTTGTTTTTTTTTCCTTATATAGAATTTATAGTGAACAATTTCTTCTTTGCGCAACTCCTCCTACATTTCTCAACGGATTTTGACCAAACTTTCACAGAAGCTTTGTCATCAAGTGCCCTGGCGCATATTGTCGGGGTTTCGCGATTGGATAATATTTGACCTAATTATGGCCCTTTGTTTTTTTTCCTTATAAAGAATATATAGTGAACAATTTCTTCTGTGCGCAACTCCTCCTACATTTCTCCACGGATTTTGACCAAACTTTTACAGAACCTTTGTCATCAATTGCCCTGGGGCATATTGTCGGGGTTTTGCGATTGGATAATATTTGACCTAATTATTGCCCTTTGTTTTTTTTCCTTATATATAGAATATATAGTGAACAATTTCTTCTGTGCTGAACTCCCTCTACAATTCTCAACGGATTTTGTTCAAACTTTCACAGAAGCTTTGTCATCAAGTGCCCTGGTGCATATTGTCAGGGTTTTGTGATTGGATAATATTTGACCTAATTATGGCCCTTTGTTTTTTTTCCTTATATACAGAATAATAGTGAACAATTTCTATTGTGCGCAACTTCTCCTACATTTCTCAACGGATTTTGACCAAACTTTCACAGAAGCTTTGTTATCAAGTGCCCTGGCGCATATTGTCGGGGTTTTGTGATTGGATAATATTTGACTCTAATTATGGCCCTTTGAATTTTTTTCCTTATACAGAATTATCATAAATAGTGAACAAATTCTTCTGTGTTGAACTGGTCCTACATTTTTCAACGGATTTTGTCAAACTTTCACAGAAGCTTTGTCATCAAGTGCCCTGGCACATTTTGTTCGGAGTTTTGTGATTGGATAATTTTTGACCTTATTATGGCTCTTTGTTTTTTTTCCTTATACAGAATATATAGTGAACACTACTCAGTGGCAATTGCTCCTACATTATTCATGTTTTACATTGCACATAGTTACATTGTTTGTTGCTTGTATTTGTATTTCAAATACAACATATTTATCTACAATGGTGATAATTGAAAACCTGGTTTCATGGCATTGCCATGTTTCTTGTTTTTACTGTAAACCTGTGAAACTTATTAGTTTTATTTTATTGAGTGGACTTAAAACTTGAGCTTTTTATTTCCACAATATGGAACATTGTGGATTATATATTTTGTTTGGCTAGAAATGATGAAGTTTAACCCAGCTAAGATAAAATTAAGCAGACATCGTTTAGAAGCATTTTTGTGAAAGCGCATTAATTATTTAAATAAAGGAAAAAAACTAATTTTGTATACCTAGACTAGTAGGCCAATCAATAACTTTAAAACAATTACTTATAATTATATTGCACCTTTGTTAAGATGTCTGTCCTACATTCTTCCAACTTATTAAAAGTAAATATTTATAATTGTGTGTCTTTTTTCATTTTTCCAATTTGGTGGTTCTACTCAGGTGCCCATCCATGCACAGAGTAAGAGGGGCACCTAAGATCTTTCTCTACCAGTAAAGCTTGGAAGTTGCTTTATTTCCTCTACTGTGTTTGTGCGACGTAACCCCAACCCACCCCCCACAAAAAAAATAATACTGGAAGTGAAACAAATGACTTATCTGTAGACTGCAAAGAAATACTTATTTCACAATCAGGTTCTAATTAGTATTTATAATAAGATGATTTATGTCAGTTGATGAATTGATTCAGGTGCCCAATAAGTACTTTATTCATTACCATGACAACTTTTCTGACAGCTGACTGCTAACTTTTTCTTAACTAACACATGCTCACCTTTAATATTCCCTTTTATGGAAAGCCATGGCTGCCTTATATTGGTATCAAGCAACTTGCTACCTTTGTTTCATACACTGATGGTATGGTTTCATATATTGTAACTATGGAATAATATAATGACATCATTCTGGTTTAACAAGAAGGAGATTTCAATTCATACATAGACTTTATTTAGTCGAAGTGAACTTTTATATAACCCATGGCTTTCCATACCATTTCCTTGATATGGTCACTATTAGAATTTCTCATTTTAAATTATGATAGACACACCCATGCATGTAGAAAGTATACAAAAAGGAACACCCAGTGTGTGAAGGGAAAGTGTATATAGACATTTGAATATCTTCATGCGTTGAGTTTTGTAGGTTAGGATGAATGTTGCATTTTGATTGATATTTGCCACAAGTTAATTGAACAGATTACTGATATATTAAAAGAGAAATGTTGAGATATTCACATGCTAATAATTTGCATAATTCATGCATAAATATATTTCATCTCTTTTATTTTGCAGCTGTAGATTTCTCAAGTGTATCAAGAGTAGATTTTGCGAAGAAAAGCAAAGTTTTGTTAAAAAAATTAAAAAATGTGTACATTCAGTTCAAAGGCTAATACACCTATTTACTTTTAACCTTTAATTTAGGCTGTTTTTGCATGATTTATATTAAGAATAAAAACCAATGTTGAGATACATGTATTTTAAGATTTGGATTGATAAAAGTTGATTTTTGGTATGATTAAGTTATTTTATAATGGTTATTTTTAGCCCAGTTATTTTCTTCTTTCGAAGAAAATGTAAACAATAGTTTGACTCTTTACTGGTGACAAAAGATTTTTTAACTTTTGGTACAAGCAAGTAATAATTTTATTATTTTACCTGTTTTTTATTGTGTTACAGGTGTTTCAATGGGTACATATGTGACTTGAAGATCTACATAGAAGATTGATAAGTAACGATGCACAAGAGACAGTATTCAGACAATATATCCATGATGAAAGGACCGAAGCAGTGTGGCGTAAGTTTAAAGATCCTGTAACATATCATATAATTATATGTTTGATAGAAGGGAAAAATATTTACTGGTCGTATTACGGAATAATGGGGTGGTCTCGAAATCGGGGTAAGCAACCATTGAAATAAAGTATAAAAAAATCGGGTCTTAAAAAAAATAGTGCTTATTAGCGGGTTGGTCTCGAAAACGGGGTGGTCGTAAAGTGGGTTTTTACTGTACTGATAATAACACAAATTTTAGTGTTTTTATATTATAATCTCTTGAAAAAAAAGTTTGATGTATACCTTGTTAAAATGAAAATATCCTTTTCTCAGACTTATTTTCCATATAATATTTCTATAATGAAATATACTACTTTTTATTCAATCAAAAAGGTATTGGATAGGCATTTTAATAGTCATGATGTGTGTGCATTTATCACAGTATACCTTATTCATGAGCAAATCTCATTTAAGATTTTGTCATTTGCTGTTTTAATTACATTAAGTTACATGTATTCCATTTTTTTGGTGTGATTGTAAAACAGAAAGCAAAAAAAATCTTTTATTATCAATAGAGTTGCACAGCATTATTGGAAATCACTTAATTATTTTGCATGTTAAATTGCATTAAATGTAAAAAGTAATTTGAAATTCACTGTCATTGTATTGATTATGTACTTGTTTTTGTTTTTTTCAGCATTGTGGCTGTATTTGTGATGGAAACTTTACTCACACAAGGTAAATCTTGATTATCACCTTTAAAGGGACTCCACTGATGAGACAAGAAATATTTTTTTCGAGATTTTGATACCATTTGATTGAGAACTGTACAAATAAATTAAAAAAAAAAAAAAAAAGAATCTCTAAAGAACCCCAGAATAACAAAGTTGAAAATGTTGCCGGCTGTGTTTGATTGAGCATATTCATGGATGGTACTGGAAAGTCAAGTAACCGTGCATGCCCCCTAGCACCAGCTTATGCAAAATTCAACATTTAAACACATGAAAATGGTCAAATATTGAATTTAGAAACATCTACAGATGTGTTCATGATGTGTTCAATTTTGTGTAAAATTTCAAATCATTCGTTCACTGTGTTTTTCCAGAATAATCATTTTTCTTTTGCAAAATAACCTCAAAGACTCAAATCATGCAAAGAATTGCACTAAATATAGATTTTCAGTTTAATTCTGAGTGTATCTTTTAAAATGCTTTTCTTTTTGTATGCCCGAAAGAATTTCGGGCATATTATGTTATACCCCCTGGCATCCGTCCGTCCGTCTGTCTGTCCGAGCAAACATTTTGGGTTTAGGGGCTATTTTCTTTGTTATTTTCTTTGTTTTCTTAAGGGATTACTAGCCCATAAACCCTTTGATCATGGAATGAACCTATTGTTCTCTTTACTGTTATATAGCCCCTTAACCCGAAATGTTTGCTCGTCCATCCGTCTGTTAGCAGTTTGGTTTCCGGAGCATAACTTAAGTTCTGTTTGGCCCACAATATTCAAACTTCATAGGATGATTGTCCATATTGGGTAGAAGACCCCTATTGATTTTGGGGTCACAAGGTCAAAGGTCAAGGTCACTATCACCTTAAAACTGAGGACAGTTTCCGGAGCATAACTTAAGTTCCATTTGGCCCGCAGTGTTCAAACTTCATAGGATGATTGTCCATATAGGGTAGAAGACGCCTTTTGATTTTGGGGTCACAAGGTCAAGGTCATTATTACTTTAAAACTGAAAACAGTTCCCGGAGCATAACTTAAGTTCCATTTGGCCCACAATATTTAAACTTTATAAGAGGATTGCTATTTGAAGGAGGTAATACTTTATTTAATTTATGTAATGTCTTACAAATGTTTAATCCTTACAAAAAAAAAAAAAATACTTTCGGGCATATACTGCTCTGCCTAGCGGTGCTCTTGTTTTTATTTTTGATCTATGTAAGACTTTCAAATTTTATGTTTTTATGCTTTTGTACTTTAATCCTTTAACCTTCTGGACTGGAAAGTGATTAGCCTTTGCCACTAGTATAGAGCTAGGCCAGTTACTTTAAAAAATAGGCACTAGGATGCAGAGTCTTTTTCCCCTGTTTCAATTTAGGAAAAACTATCAAAAAATGTTTGTTGTGATATAATTTCACATTATTTGCTGCCAGGTCCTTTTATCAATATAGGAAGGTACATCTAGTGTTGAAATTATCATATGATGTTATAAGTATAATATTGAAGGTATTAATTCAAAACTAACCAAAAAAATAAGAATTTTATAATAAAAAAAATCTCAAATTAGACTCAATCCCACAAAGCTTCTTATTTTGAGAGGCCAACTATTGAAGCTTTGTTGTTCTTTTTAAGTTGAGGTGTCATACAAGGTTCATAATAACAAATCCAGTTACTTGATATAGAAATTATATTAGCAATTAAGAGAATGTACTAAGGATGGGAATGACAGTACATGTATTTACAATAACAGGTCTGAAAGTACTATTTTTAATATATTGTGTCATACAAAATGTGATATATTCTGTACAATGTACAAGTTTTATTACATGTTAATCTTTTAATTGGAATATCTTTCTTATTTTTTGGAATCTTTAAAATAGAACAATAAAGTTCTGGGATTTTCATTTTTAATTTTTGCTCTATTATAAAAGTTAACGCTTTTTAATACCTCCTGATCTCATAGATAACAAACATCTCTGGTGTTTGATAGTGACTTGTATTGTCAAAGGGGCCTTTTTGGGCCACTTCTGTACAGTCTGACTGGACTCTATAATGTTGACTGGTTGATTTAAGCATTAACATAATGGGATATATTTGTACCATGCTAAATATCTTATATTGACATGTTCATCTTTCAATTTGGATATAAACATTCTTCATTTTTCAGGAAATTCTATAATAATTATTGACTAATCATAGCCTGGGATTCAGGTGTTGATATTTTTTGCTTATTCATAACTTACGCGCTTTTTCATACTCGATCGTCATAGATAACACAACATCTCTGGTTTTGATAGTTGACAATAAATGTATCAATGTCGATTTGCCGAACAGAAGCACATAAAAAATCGACAGACTGGAACCCAGGCTAGACTGATCAATGCAAACCATGAACAAACAGCACAGGCTGGTTTTGGTCTACACTGGTCACATGACCACAGCAGACTACAATAACAAAGATTTGTTCTTAAAGCAATCCAAGCCACTTGCATCCATGGTCGAATGATTAAGGCCTTTAACTTCAAACCAATTGCCTCTCACCGCTGTAGGATTAAAGCTGCGCAAGCGTCGTCAGTTTCTACATGTGAGAAGGCTATTCAGCTAGCTTACAGGACATCGATGGTTTTTCTGTAGAGCCCGTTTGTGTCTGAAATAATGTACAGAGGAGCACCTAAGGTCTACCTCCACCAGTAAAGCTGGAAAGTTGCCATATGACTTGTACTATACTGGTGTGACATTAAACCCAACAAAAAAAAAACAACAAAACAATATTAACAGGGTGAATTTAAATTCAAATCAGTGCAAGTCAGTAATACAAGATTTAACATGGGAAATGTTTATCACCCTTTTTCTGTTTCAGTCATAATTTAGACCTTCAGCAAAAGATAGAAGAGCTACAGAGTGAGTTATTGAAGAGCAAGGCTCGCATGTCTAATTTAGAACAGGAGTATGATAACAGGTTGCAGGCCACTAATTATGAACTTCTCAAGTTAAGGGAGGAGTTTGTAAAACTTAGGGACAGATATGAAAGGTGAGATTTTTTATGAATTCTTATATTAAATTTGCATTCTTAAGTTTGATATATTCAGTACAATGTGTGTAATGATTAAAATATGTTGTGTGAGAAGTTTCAGTACTGTTGGACTGAAGCTATAGAATGGACTTCTTTTGGACTTTGGACAAGTTTAGACAGTGAATATTTTAAAAAAATCATTTAAATTTTATTTTTATTATGCCCCCGCCATATAATGGCCGGGGCATATAGTGTTACCCTGTTCCGTCATTCCGTCCTTCCGTCATTCTGTCATTCCGTCATCATCAGTTTCCGTTCATTATCTTAGTAACGGTTGCACACATTCAACTCAAATTTGACATATAGATATGTCATGAGAAAATACAGGTCAAGTTCGAATTTGGTCATGGTTTGATGATTTTTGGCAGAGTTATGCCCCTTTTACTTTGAAAATAATATGAAATTTTCAGTTTCCGTTCATTATCTCCTCTACGGTATTACACATTCAACTCAAATTTGACATATGGATACGTCAAAGAAATGCGCAGGTCAAGTTTGAATTTTGTCATGGTTTGATGATTTTTTGAAGAGTTATGCCCCTTTAACTTTGAAAAAAATGTCAGTTCCGGTTTATTATCTCCCCAACATATTCAAAATATTAAAGATATGGATATGTCATAAGAATGCATTGGTCAATTTCGAATTTGGTCATGGTTTGATGATAGCTGACAGAGTTATCCCTCCTGAACTTTGAAAAAAAATCAGAAATTTTAAGTTTCCGTTCATTATCTCCCCAATGGTTGTACACATTCAACTCAAATTTGACATATAGATATATCTTAGGAGTAAGCATTTTAAGTTTGAATTTGGCCAGGTTCAATGATTTTGGACTAACTTATCTTTCTTGAATGTTGGAAAAAATTTGAATTTCAGTTTCAGCGCTCATACTTTTGTGGAAATGTATGTAGCCATTATTTTGGCTACAAATATGCAATATGCAATTTACAAAAGGTTAAGACTGAATAATTTCAGTGCCTTGAACATTGTATAAAAATGGTTTGTGTTAACATTGAATAGTTTTAAGGGCTTTGAACTTAAAATTAAAAGGAAAAAAATAATTTGTGCAAACAAATTTGGAACTAAATATTATAACATCTGAAATTTTGGCTGCATGCGGGGGCATCCGTGGCATGATGACACATTTCTAGTATACAATTATTCATGATACATGTAAATTTTATTTATTTCTTCAAAAAGGAGGATACAATTGTGGATACAATTCATATATATGTTATTGTTGATACAATTCATATATACATGTAAAATTTATGGTGACATCATTTTGTTATACATTTTGTGTTAATTGAATCATATTTAATTTACAGGTTAATGGAAAGTCATAAACGAATGCAGAAAATAAATGACAACCTTGAAAATAAATTGCTCAATGTTGTAAGTACCAATACTAGCATACCAGTGTATGGTTTATATGAACTTAGTTTAATTGTTGAACACTGAATCAAGAAGTGGCAATCATGGGCTGAATGATTGGCCCTGAACCTGCTTGAACCAAAAGTAATATGCCATTGCTGCCTTAATGGGGTACCCATCATGGTTATTATTAAATTATCTAAGCTCAAACTCAAATCTCAGGTATTTGATTGGTCAGAAACTGCCACAGAATGTACACTGGCCAATGAAAATCCTGAGATTTGAGACAGAACTCAGAAAAAGGTTTTATAATCCCAAGGCCTTGCTCTTTTCTGTTGGCAGCTCAGTATTGTATTTTGTTATTGAAATCAGAATTGTTCCAGATTCAAAGCAGGTCAAATCTATGACTTATTACGGTATTTTCTATACAGATAGTAATTAATACACAAAGAAGAAAAAAATAGCAGTTTCCATAGGATAAATGTGGTACTTTAAAAATGCTCAAACCACCATATGTGGATAGTAGCTTTAATTATTAATACTGCTTAGAGGTTCAGCCACAAGATTACACTACTTCTTAGATTTGTAGACATTTTAGCACTCTAGAATCGTAAGATGGATAGTGTCGTCTGCTTTAAACTTTTAATTACATGTACAATTATATGTTAACCTCCACCATACTATTTGTGTTACAGTACAATATATTTATATATTTTCAGGTAAATTCAACAGAATCGGAGAAAACACAGCTACAGAAAGAGATGGCTGCTCTCACATCTAAAATAGTTGATGCAAAATCATTAGTGTGTGACCTTGAGGAAGAAAATGTACAAACATCTTTATAAATAGATTTTTTCCCCAACCTTTATTTCTAAGATTGATACACTTATTAATTGTTGATAAAACAGAAAGACAATGTTTTGCTAATGGGGAAGGAAAAACTTGATGTGAATGTAGTTTTAAGGGAAATCTGCATGATTTGAAAGAATTTCTTGGGGATGGAGGCAGAAGGGGGTGGGGTGCCTGCAAGGAAAAAAGCCCTTGTCTTATTCTTATTTGAATATCCATGAAAAATTTCAGACAACATACCATACCATTAGAAATATTGTTTTAAAACCTTAATAACATATTTCTGACTTTCAACTCATCTCGGTAAGAGTTCATACATGTAATTATAAATATGCCCTAGAGTTTTGTACAGTTATGTCCCATTCTTGATTTCCAAAATCATTTATAAATTCACTTCAAACTTGAAATTTCTTCTCATTTCTAAAGTTTTTGAAAAATCTAGGACTCTGTCTTAAAAGTGGAAGATTTTGTCTTAAAGATGTATTAAAGATGGTCTTGTAGAGTTTATTTGTCACGAAATGTAAATAATTTACGAGTTTGGTCTCTAAGGATATTGCATTGCAATGTAGTGTAATGAAAGACTGGAGGTTCGAGTCTTTGTTAGCTATACAACTGCTTACCTACTGACCATACATTATAAAACAATATCAAATACCCATACCAATATTTCATCTCCCTTAAATGGTATGGCATGACTGTAAATGTATTTTTTATGTGATTATGATATCATATGCCGCAAATTTATCATAAACACTTAAGTGTTTAAGTTTAAGCATGTTAATTGGAAAAAAAATTGTCTTTTTGACTTTAAACTGTTTTTATTATGGGCATAATTTTTTTTTATGGTCACTATAATGTTATATTGATGTAGCTCCATTACTAAATTTATATTGTTAACTTGTTGAATGAATATAATACTATGATAGCCAGAGATTGGTTCAATAAATTCAATATGAAATCTACACTCCTTCAATATCCTCTGTGAATCACACTCAAATTTTTTTGGTTTATACATGTACCTAGAAAGAGCATTTGGGAAGAGCATTAATAATGATTTGTAGAACGGCTTTTATAAGATTGATAATTTACCTAAGGTTTAATGATTTATTGACGTCATATTGTTAGTGATAAATGGTAGCTGACTTTCCTTTTCTTGTTGTTGAGAGAAAATTCACTTTTAGATATACGTAAATACTAAATTCATTGACGTCATCATGTGATAATGGTCCTCCTAATGTGTTATTTGGTCTTAAAGTTTATGGCCAGTAAGTCATGGTGTGCTTGTAAGGTCATTTTCACATAAAGATGTCCATGTTGAGTGCTGCATTTCATAGAAAGTCTTAAATGTAAGCTGAAGTCCTAGGACATAAAACCAACATTAGGACTAACTTAAGACCATTTCAATAAACATTTTTTATCTTCGGTGAAATACTGTAGACTATAAATAAATGCATTCTCCTGAGAAAAGTTCAGAAATTCAATGACAGACCCTTTTATTCACAACATGTAAATATCCATCATCATGACTATTCAGAAATTAAGGAGTAATAACAGTAATAATAGGAGTCATAAGGTAGGACATTTTCTTTGAGATGCAAAATTGTCTCAGTTTTGGTCTTAAGACTGATTTCAGACATTATTATTATTTATATATAGCTGAGGACTTTCTATGAAACACAATCCACTCTATCAAAATGCTAAAGTTGAGCTTCAAACAGCAGTATATTTTCTGGTCAGACTGCATGGAAATATATGCTTGCCTGGCTATATACAGATGGCAAAGGCCAATCAAAATTCTGTTCCAGCATGTTTAAGGCTAAATGTTGAGTTTAAGTCTAAGGCTAAATGTCGAGTTTAAGTCTAATGCTGCTAATAAATGTTCAATATGACAAAAACATACTTGAGCAAATGCAGGCTTATATATTTACTTAATGTTAATTGTATAAAGAGTCCTTATAACAAATTATTGATACTAACTGTAGTGTGAAGACGGGACTAGTATGACCCTTTAAGTTCACACATTAACAATGTCGTGTGAGTTTCTGACACAACAGGGTGAAAACTAAAACGTATGACAGAAATTTGGCAGTTAAGTTAAATAGTTCATGTTTGTATTTAGCAAAGTTGCTAATTACTATAACATGATTAGGGAGGGATGAATTTGTCTGATGAGATAAAAATTGCATAATTCACGAAGTCTTGTGAGCAAGGTTTATCATATGTTGATATATTTTTGTATGTTTATTTCTATATGCACTGTGTTTTTTTTCCAGGAGAGATACAGAAATGACTGTAACTGGGCAGTCCAGTTACTACAGTGTAAACCTAGTAATTTTGTAGCTCAGAAGTTAAATGCTGTAAGTTTTTTGGTTTTTTTTTCACGTAACATTGTTTATGCTTGTTATTATTATCAGCATTGAGACTGCCACTGTCATTTAATCTGAACAACTGTATTTACTGCAATAAATGGCCTTATTATTGGCTGAGATTGCCATTTCAGTTAGATTTAATGACTTCATTAATATCTGTGTTGCATATGATGATGACATTTTATAGGATGAAAGTTAAAATAAAGTTATTTTATTGAAGTAGAGTGATTCCCTATAGAGTAGAAAATCGTTGATAAAACCTTAAAATAATGCTGGTAAATCATTAAGTAATAATTTTGTTGATGTAAAACAAATGACATTGCACTTTAATGTTCAAAGGGAAGCAACTCTTCTTGACATAAAACATACTGGTTATGAAAATGAATAATTTTTAGTCTCTTCAGCAAAGTTGTATAAACTGTGTTAGTCGGTTATAAGTACAAAACTGCACAATAAGCTAAAATTTTGTAATCAAATGCTAATACATGTAATACTTTTAAAGAATGGATATTTTCTGACTATTTCAGTTACCGATTGGTCTTCAGGAGCGTGTAAAATGTCACATGACCAGCGAGCAAATAATCAACATGGATAACGGGAATCAGGAGAAAACTAAACTTATACACGTTCCAATGCAAACATTTCCCCCAACAGCGATGGTTTATTCCGTACCGAAACAAAAAGACACTTCCAATGGCACGAGTGAAAATCAGGATGTTCCAACATCCTTGATCGCAAAAGTTTTAACACAGCCTGACACTAAACGTAGACCTCAGCGAACATACTTTTGTGTAAAATGTCGCGAAGATTATCATTTTGCTCACAAAGAGACGCAGACTAATTGTGTGAAAGAAGTGGAGCGTGGTGTTAAAATGGCAATAAAAGTGCATAGGAAAGTTAACAGTTTTTCACAGTTGCCATACATGGACACATGATCATTGATGTGCTGAAGATGTACATGTATTATGTTGTTGTTATTTATTGACATGATTCACAAATTGGCCAAAATGTTTAAACTGCTTTAAGAGGACAACTTGATTTGTAGTTATGGTATTTCATTAGCATATAATGCTAGCCAATGATATTTCTTCTGTTTAATAAGCTTATAATGCTAGCCAATGGTGTTTATTGCATTTAGTTAGCAAATGATGTTAGCCAATGGTATTCATTGTATTTAATTAACTTATAATGCTAGCCAATAATTAGCCAATTGTATTGATTGTATTAAATATGCTTATAATGCTAGCCGATGGGATTCATTGTATTTAATCAGTTAAAATGCTAGCCAATAGTGTTCATTGTATTTAATTAGCTTAAAATGCTAGCCAATGGGATTCATTGTATTTAATTAGCTTAAAATGCTAGCCAATGGGATTCATTGTATTTAATTAGCTTATAATGCTAGCCAATGGGATTCATTGTATTTAATTAGCTTATAATGCTAGCCAGTGGTATTCATTGTATTTAATAAGCAAATAATGCTAGACCAAATAAGTAGCGGGAATAATTTATAGTTAGCACTGCATTATACATTACAGTAGTCTAAAATTTCTTATATTTATTTTCACCCAATAAGAAATCATTTGAAAAGTGGTATTTATTCTTCTATCATTTTTGTTTATATTATTTACATTTATAATATTCTGTGAACTAACTTTTTAGTGGTAGTATCACTGCTGTAATTAAAGCTGTGGTAGTATCAAGAGATTGTTTTACATAGGTTATTATTGTATTTTTCTGCTATTAGTTATTTAGTTAAACAAAGAAAACTCTGCATTATGCTATATATAATCATAGACTCTAATCAAAGTCTGTGATATAATTTATTGATGTGAAAAACATACTCCTGACTTAATCAATTTATTGTTTTCAACGTTATTTATTATACTAGTTTGATTTTAATTTTGTTTCATAATTTTTAATTATAAAAATAAAGATAGATAATCTGTTATGCCTCCTGTGTAATTTGTTATATGCTACACTAGTTCTTGGAAAAAGTTAATGATTAGTGATTTTGTATGTTTTTCAACAAATTTTCTATTTGTACCTTAAAAATGTTATTAAGTTTTTATGTCATATAAGCAATAAGTCATAATGGGACTATGTGAATATTTTTGTAATAATAATTATCAAAAGAAAAAGAGGGTCTTAAAATACAAGAAAATGTAGTTAATGTTCAGGCTTTAGGAGAACTCTGTTAGTGCCATGAGTAAAAACTGTCAAAATTTGATTGAATTTGAATTTACCAGGATGCTTATATTTCTCTAAAGTCTGATCTATAAGAGAATGGGTTGACTGTAGATTAAACAAAAAAATGAATAGTGACAATAACTCTTTTCCTTCCTTGTATTGAAAGCTGCATTCAGTAATAACATACCAATCTAGAAATAGTAATGCAACATTTAGTCTTTAATATTAAACTTTGGTTCAGAAAATTTTCCTATGATCTCCTTTATATATTATGAGGGTTGTCCAAAAGATTCGTGCACTGCAGTTATTGTTGTGAGAGTTATTGATAAAAAAACATGAATTCTATATCACATGAAGGGGAAATCTGTCTCAAATAAGAAAACAAAAGAAAACCCGGTGTAACCAGTGTGTCGTGAAAACGAATCATCATAGTAACATTATACCGGCACACGGCAAACAATAACTGCAGTGCACAAATTTTTTAGACAACCGTCTTTGCTTTGCCCTCTACTTTTTTTTGTTCAGTGCTCTGCTGGGCTCCATGCCTTTGTTTTTGTGTTCCTGAATTTCCTTCGAATTTCCTTCGGGTTTGTGCTGTTATAATGTTACCCTTTCTTGTTGATCTTTGTTCTCATAGTTTAAGAATTCCTTTAAACCGAAAAAAAATGTTGTGTTAATTATACATTGTGTTGAAAATACTAGGTAATCATGTAAAATTTGTTAAATATAGTTTACTGTTCAACCTGCCATTAATTATCCGACCAATGTCATGTTTGTATCATGTGTTTAACATGTTCATTCATTTAATTCATTTTGATAAGGATAACAACAATTTTTTCTATTAATATTATCATTAATATTAATATTAATATTAACAACAATTTTTTCTATTAATACGAGGGTTGTTCAAAAAGTAATAGGACTGCAGCTCTACTGTTCACATTTTTTCATCTACGTACACGAGTTTACAAAAATCGAATATCGGAATTTGTCCTCTATATACAGTGAAAAAATCAATACAATATGTTTAAAAACAACAATTCTGTACAACTTACAAATGACAAGGGGTAGGCGACCCGGCGCACGCTATTTGTTAAATAAATGACGTTCATGACGTCGCAAAATAAATTTAAAATGTAAACAGCGTCATTCTTTCTGAAATTATTCTCCACAATGTTCTGGGTGCTTGAATCATGTAACTATAACCAGAACTCATCTGTTGAGATGTAGCGAAAAAAAGCAATCACATTTTCATTTCTTTATTCGAAACATGCCCGGTGGCCGGCAACTTTCGGTTTGATCTCGTGATTTTGAGTATTCTGGAAGCTAAACGGGCATGGACATATAATGTAAATGACAAAGTGAATTATATTATTTATTTACACATGCCATCTTACATTCTTAAAACAATATGATTATGTACAGTAAATTAAAAATGCTTATTAATTGAAAAATATTCTCTTCTTCTGAGCACAGGCTATCATTTATTAAACGAAATCGAGAAAAATTGATACCAATAATTACCGCATATCATTATCAAATTTATTCAATGATAACACACACACACACACACATATATATCTAATAAAATAAAATAGTGTTTAAAACAAATTTCCCCTATTCAATAATTTTCTTAGAACTGAAACAGTATACCCGATGCAAACATCAAACATGCCGGACAGTTCGCGGACTGTATATCGCCGATACTTTTGTAGCGCTATTGCAATTAACGTCTCTAACGTCCGTCAATTGTCCGCTTTCTCCCTAGCCCTTTCGTGTCTGTGATCTCATGTTCACCGCCTATGAACTGCTTTCTCCAGCTGAAAACGAGTGTCCTAATTGCCTAATTATTGTTCTGTGAAAATTTAATCTTTTCATACGTAGCTGAAGGAGTAGGGCCTATCTGTTAGCAAAATTTAATGATCGTACACATTTTAAGTTTTTCAAAGAACGTCATTTTTCTACATTTAATGCGATTATCACTGCTGTTCAAAACGTTATAGTTTAGCGATTTCTTGTCTGAATGACGTCAAATTTGGACAATATGACACTTTAATATGATAAAATGTGTTGGTGAAATATTAGGGGGAAAAGACAACATATTATGAATAAACTGAAAGTACAAATAAGCGTCAAAATATTTTTGATGCGCTGCGCCGGGTGCGTGTTACCATGGTTATTTAATATCACAGGGAACACGCGTTTAGCGCAATAATTCAATAAACTTATGCTGAAGTTGTAGAAAACAATTAAGTATAGCCGTGAATATAAAAATATTTAAAATCTAATTGAATATGTAGACATAAGACTCTGAGTCCTATTACTTTTTGAACAACCCTCATATTATCATTTTGATAAGGATAACAACAATTTTTTCTATTAATATTATCATTAATATTAATATTAATATTAACAACAATTTTTTCTATTAATATTATCATTTTGATAAGGATAACAACAATTTTTTCTATTAATAGAAATTAGTCATTTAGTGCCATAGTATATTACGTAATTTATTTGAATTCCAATGAGGCTTATCACCTGATGACTGTTGAAAAATGCTGTTGAGGATTCAGCTATACATGGAACATTATTAGTGAAATTAAAAAGTAAAATAGTGAGAATAAAGAAATAAGTGAAAAGTTTTTTTTTTTATTTTTCAAGTGGAACATATAGTATCCAGCAAGAGGTACATTTGTAAGGAAGAGTTTCAAGGGTATGTTGGGTGACAAATGTACAAAAATATCTGTTCATGTATATGATAATTATAACACATAAAGGGGCATACAGGGTATTGCCTCCACAAGTTGGAAACTCAACTATACACATATTGATAATGATGTTAATGTTTAATTGATTAATTATTGACATTATTTAAAAAAAAATAATTACTGATTATTTACATTTTTGTATTCAATATATATTTAAACAGAACAAATCATTATTTTTTTAATATTAGTTACAGTTACATAATTAAACAATGCAATATTCCAATGGATTTTAAACATATGGAGGTGCTTTTTGTTTAGATTTATTTTGTTTATTTTTTTTGCCATAAAGGGTAAGAATACACAGCATATCACCTTTTGGTTAATTAATCTTTTTTGAAGAGTTAGTTCCCTTTAAAATAGTAATATGGCATTATTGCTAATTTCAGTTGAAGGTGTTTTTTTCCTTTACTTTATTTTATATATATTCATGTATTTTGTTATGTTTTTTTCTGTGATACTTTCAAATATTAAAAAAAAGTTGTTAGATGCTGAATCTACATGTTCAGAGAGGAGATTTAGTTTATTTATGGCTATCCTGAAAAGGATGTGGGGTATCAGTTGATATTAAGGTAAATAAAATGAAAGAAGAGCCCAAAAAATAGCTTTTGTCAAAATCTCAACAACAAGAGTTTTATATATAGTCAAAACAAGTTTGTAAAAAAAATGCCTTAAATTTAGTTATCACAACTTTTGATTATTTTTGCATTGATTGAGAGTTCAGTAAAGTTCTTTTTGTGCCATATAAATTATTTGATCTATGGCTAAAACTTTGCATATTATTGTTATTTTGATATAAAGTTAAGATTGAAAACCAAAGGCTTTAAAAATTTATAGAAAATAATATTTAAACCTTATTTCTACTTTTGCTAAAGATGATATCTGTTATTGTTTTAAGTCTTTCATTGTAAAACTACATGTACTGAAATTTGTATAGAGTGGGATGGTGTTGGTGTTAGTAGTTTACCATCTGGTTAAAAAAAATTCAATTTAAGTTTAATTTTTATGTGCATGTATATTCTTTTAATGAAGAGAAATAGGAACTGCTTTACATGTAGTTTAATTCTACCAGAACTATACTAAGTTCAAAATGAAGTAGAGGGATCTGTATTTGGGATATTGCAATATTTATGGGGAAATACTCAAAAGTACTTGACAGTTAAAAAAATTTTAAAGTTCAAAATTATAATAACATCATGTACTGAATCTCATAATTTAAGATTGTACAATGTACATGTATATATTTATTTTACCTTTTGATGATTGATGACAAAAGTTCTTGCCTATATGTAAATGTAATAAAGACTAGGTATTTTGGATTATATTAGATATATGAGATATACATGTATAAATATGTGATGATAGTCTTGTGCAGTAGTAAAAACTTTAAAATTATTTGCTGATAAGTATATAAAATGTGCTGGTAATTTTATGGAAGTAAACAACACACTAAACTTTGTGGCATAGATTTAATAATACATTAATTTGATTATTTTTTTAATATGACATTTGCAATGAAATAAAGAAAATGTGTTGATCATTGTGTCTTAACATAAAATATCATGATTCTAAAAGAATGTGTCACAGTTTCTGTCTTGAACAAAATGTAATGTACATGTATATAACAAATATGACTTTTAGACTACCCCTAAAATACATTGCTGGGTAGATCTTCATCAACAACTTTATGTAACATTCTTGGATAAACCATCTTAAAAGAGTTAAAATGACCTATACTGTGTTGGTGTGATGTTAAACCCAAATAATAAAAAAAGAGTTAAAATAAATCTGGTTTGCCCATTTTCCCAGAGGAATCTGGCTTCTTTTGCCCATCTTTAAGATGAATTATACATGTTGTTAAAGGTATGATAATTAAAGCCACAATAAAGGGGACCAATTTAGAAAAATAAAGATATTTATAAAAGTCACTTATTTCATCTCTTTAATTGATTAAAATTTTGTATAACTTTATTCTATATGATATGTTTTGACATTCATTAGTTAACTAACATTTAATTACCAATATATGATTTCAGAAATTGTAAAATAGACACAATCAATGGCTTGTCTTGTCCACTGGTAGTAGGGGGGGAGATAACTGTATCTCATTTTAGAAAGGGATACTGTGATTTTTAATGAATGTGTTAACTCATGAACTGTTTGATATATACAAACAATTATTTATCACACACCCGTGCCGTTTGCGACTTTGTAAAAATGATATTGCACGGCCTTGCATATATTTTGACGTGACGTCATTAGCGTTATACAAACATAGTGTAAAGACTTAATGTTAGCGTTATACTATAGGCACGTCAGTGAAAAATGGCTCTTTTTTCACTTTAAACGGTCTTTATTTTGGGTGTGTGATAAATAAAATATTAAATTCGAGTAAGTTCATCACTGAATTTATTGACACGTTGAATAAAATATTATGCTCGCCAGGGGCACCATAATATAATTTTATTCAACTCATGCAATAAATTCTGTATTGAACTTACACTCATTCAATATCCTCTAAATAATTTATGCAACAGTGCGGCTAGCAAATATATTATCATGCTTTTACATTGATTTTTATTGGAAATTTTATACATTTTGTTATGCTATGGCTGAAATGTGAAATATCAATAAAAAGTAGAAAAACTAAATCAAAGTATACTCAATTCTCTTACATGACTTAAAAGTTTGTGTGTTTGACTTGATAACATGGATGTCACATCTCGCACATTGCCAGATTGTACTGATAAGGGGAGATCACTGCGTAGGAGATTTCTAGGATGTTGCAATACTAAAAGAGGGCAAACAGAACAAAGGAACACAAAGAGATTCTTTCCATAAAAATAGAAAGCATTGAGTGCACCACCACAACAACAACAAAACATCCGAGCATGTCTGTACGAATCAGCGTGTCTGTATTAACAACAATTTTTTTGGCATCGTAAAAGACCATCTTTTGGTGGAAAAACGAGCGTCTATTTGTAAAATTTGTGTGTATTTTGTAACAAAAAAAAGTTCTAAGTCATATTTTAATTAATTTCCATACTTTAATCCAGCGCCTTAAAAAGGCTTAAATAATCTAGATTAATTTATAGTCATTAATTTTTTCG